CCCAGGTGATCGTGAATCAGTGCTTGTTTTCTGAATATGATAATCTCTGGGTTCAGCTCCCCATGTGTAGTGGGCTCCAGGGGGCAGGGAACTGGCAGGGCAAGTTTTGGGGGCATTTAGAGGTCCCTTAGCCAAGCACTATCAGATATCATCTAACATGCCCCTGGCTCTTCACATTTCAAATGTCTGTAAACCTGGAGCTAGGAAAATGAAAATGCATTTAAAAGAATTGCTAAATTTGCAGTGGCTTTTTCTCAACCTACTGGTTGCAAACTTAACTACTATCATGGGTGGACCTTCCTACCTGAAAAACTTGGGGGTCCCTGGCCTCGAAGAACAAGTTCACATGATGATCCCATGGCCAAGCCCCCCATTCCCACCTGCCCTGTAATCCCTCACTGCAGCTCTTAGGAACTCTAGCCCACTGTGCCTGTGCTTAAGGTGCTTCCTCCACCCGGTCTGCCCTCCCCCACCTTCAGCTCAGAGGAGCATTCCATAGTCACCTCCATTGCACAAACCCAACAGGAAGTGCTCCCTTTCCTCGTTTTGAAGCCCTCACATCTCTTTGCCACTTATCCATTGTGTTGCTTTAAACAAGCTACTTAACTTCTTGGAGCCTCAATTTTCTCAACTGTGAAATGGAGCCAATCAGACCAACTCTCAGGGATGGCTGATTGAAAGAGCGTGTTAGCCAGCGGTTTGACATGGTTTCCGGGGTGGTTTAAGCCCTCCAGAGGTGGGACGGCCCTTATGGATGAGGACCCTGGAGCTAGAGAGGAGCAAAGACTCGTCCAAATTCACAGAGCCATGTAGAGGCAAGCCAGGGCTCCAGCCAGGCCACCCCTCTCTCACCTCCCTCTGGTCCTGATCTGTCTGTGTCCCCAGACTGGGTAGGGCAGGGCCAGGCGAGGGAGCAGCTTGCTCTTTACCAGCAGCAGTTTCCTCTGGGACCAACCCTCGGCCCCCTGGGGCTGGCTGCGCGCACACACACTATTTCCTAATGTGACCGCGGGAAACGGCCTGGGTGTTGGAGGCCCTTGGACATTTGGCAAGTGTTGCTTACACTTCCTGTGATCCTCCCTAGTGCTGAAGGAGGCCCAGCCTTCCAGAGCCAAAGCTGTCACACGGGCCAAGTTCCTCCGTTTCCAGAGAGAAAGGAGAAGTGAGCGTCCTCTCTCCCCTCTGCCACCCCCGCACACACCCCCAGCAACTTCTTTTCTGTTCTTTCCCTCAGCCCCCAGCTCTCTCCGGAGCTGTGCTTCATGCAAAGTCATTGCCTGCAGTCTCAGCAGCAGCCCTTCTGTCAGCCCTGAAGGATGAGGGGGGCTCCCACCACCCACCCCCTCATCTCCAGGACCAAGGGCCAATCAGGCCTCCTGGAAGCCTGAGGGCATCGCCAGGTCAGGCTGAGCTTGCCCTTCTCAGGCTCCAAACATCTATTGTCTGGAATTTATGCTCTGGGTTCTGATCCTTCTTTCACTTACCCACTATTAAATATACCTTGTGATCTACTCTGGGACTGCAATAATCCTATATAATAATCCTATATAATAATCCTATATATAATAGTAAAAGTGTAATATGCTAAGTGTCCAACTGATCAATGGACCTTTTGGTCGACCACTCAACCAGTCGCTATGACGCCCACTGACCACCAGGGTGTAGACGCTGTGACAGGTAGGTTAGCTTGCTGCTGGGGTCCGGCTGATCAGGACTGGGTGAGAGGGCTGGGCACACCTGGAGCCCTCCTACAGTCCCTCCCCTGCCGGCCAGTTCCCATTGGTCCCGATTGCTGAGGGACCTCACCTATGCACAAAATCATGGACTGGGCTCTAGTAATAATAATAATAATAATAGTAATAGTAATAATGCCATAAGAAAGATCTTCCAGGACTAGGGTACCCAAAGGGATCCTTTTATGAGACTCAAGGCTCAGGAGACAGACAATTTTAGCATAACCAGGTAGGAGAGAAACCCCAATAAAAGGTTATCTCCATAGTGCAAAATGTCTGATTGCCCTTTAAGATATGAGGTCAGGTCTCTGGAGAACCCATTCCCTCTTCCCCTCCATCCCAGGACCCACCACGAGCCCCTCCTACTCTTGTATCCTTCATCCAGGATCAGAAAATGACCAACAACATACACTGGAAGCCAGACACACAGGGCGATGAAGGAGAGAAAGAGCAGGAAAAGCCAGGCCTAAGGGGGAAGGAGAGGCTTATGAGGCCTCCATGGACCACAGGGATGGCCTCATGGTCTAACCTGAGCGTCCCCAGCCCACGGCCCAGCTGCCAGTGGCAGGCTCCCAGAGGCCAGGTGAGCTCTGAGAGCTCAGCATGTGCTGCCACTCGTGTGTTTTCCTGAAGGGAAAGGATTGTGTACTGACACCTGCTCCATGCAGATTGCTTCCTACCTATGATCTCATTTAATCCTCAGAACGACCCCCAACTCCCCCGAGTTGCTTCTCTAAGCTCCAGAAGCTCAGAGCATGTGACCAGAATCACACACACACACACACACACACACACACACACACACACACAGTAGGCAGCCTGGCTGGGACTGTAAGCGCAGGTCTGCAGGCTCCAAGCCCAGTGCACGTTCCTCTGGGAAAAGTCAGCATCCTAAGGACTGGATCACCCTGCGCCTCCATTCCCCCCTCATCTCCAAAGTGGAGCAAAATGACCCTCCCTCATGGGTGGTGCCAGGCTGGGAGGTAATGCATGTAAAGCATCTGGAGCAAAGTTGATGCTGTGCATAGCCACTGTTTTCAGTCTTAGGCAAGCGGGAAGGGTTCTCCTTGTGGATGAGAGGTGAAGGGAAGCCCTCTTAGAACCAGGCAGAGAAAGGAAAAAGAAAAAACCCTTGGAAGTCTCTTGTCTTCCTGGCTCAGCGGGCTTTGTTAGACTCATAAAATCAAAGCGGGGTGTGTGTGTGTGTGTGTGTGTGTGTGTGTGTGTGTGTGTGCGCGCGCGTGCGCGCTAGGGCTCCAGAGGGCTGATGGGGACCCAGCAGGAGAGAAGCTGGCCTCCCCTGAGGACCCACCCCCTTCTGTCATCACCACGGAGACGGAGCTGGCTGCCCGGCAGGGTTCCTGCCCACCCAGGGCCTGAAGTTGCAGCAAAGGGAGGGGCAGGAGCTCAGCAGACAGAGACCAGGCTAGAAAGCTGGGGTTGTGGGGAGAATGTCTACATCCTCCATCATCCCCCCACCCTCATCCCCGCCCCCGCCCCAATCCCCAAGGCACTGAAGGACTCAGGCTAGTGTGGGATGTGTCTGGCGGGTCTGAATCCCAGCTCTGCTTGCAGCTGGCTGCGTGATTGTGGGAAAAACACTTCCTCTCTCGGTTCCCACATTTATAAAAGAAGAGGTAAAAAGAATAAAATGAAAACTTGATGAAGAAAACCGTGGGATGAAAAAATGAAATACGACGCACGTAGAAGAATATTTAGTGCTCAGAGAGAACATTCACTACATACTGTTTATTGGGGGGGGGAGGGGGGGGGGAGAGAGAGAGAGAGAGAGAGAGAGAGAGAGAGAGAGAGAGAGAGAACTTGACAATGCTGCTGACCAGTGTGATCCCATTTCTCTCTGTTAAGAAAGCACACACTCTGTTTACCGAAAGAAGGAGCAGGGAGGTGGTGAAATACTCTAAAATGCACTTCTGCTGTTGCCTCTAGAATGGGGACTGTGTGACATTTTTTATTGCTTCTCAAATTTGGGCCAATGAACATGGATTACCTTCAAGGTCAGGCTGACATGAATAGCTCCCATCTGTATGTTTGTTACATAGTGACATTGGGCTTACATGGTTTAAAGCCACTTCTGCCTTCACACTCACTCACCCTCAGGGAGGGAGAGTACCCTGATTCCCCCCACTTCTCAGAAGAGGAAATTGAGGTTCAGAGAGGTTAAGGCACTTGACCAAGGCCTAACCACCTGAGTGGCAGGGTTGAGATTTAAAATCACACTGAGACACTGGACTCCACGAATTCAAGCAATTAATTATTATCACTACTGCCTCTCAGGACAAGAAAACACTAAAGGTTCTGTTTCCTTAAATGTTTTACTATGGCAAATACCGAGGAAATCAAAAGTAGAAAGAAAAATGTATCCTTCATTTATAAAATGAGTAAGTCCTGGGGTGTACAGCATGGTGATGATAGTTAAGAATACTATATTGAAAAAAAAAAAAACAAAAAACTATATTGCATACTTGGAATTTGCTAAGAAAGTCGATTTTAAGTGTTCTCGCCATACACAACAAAAGTATAATGAGGCAAGATGCTGGTTGTGGCAATCATTTCACAATGTATGCATAAAACAAATCTTTATGTTGGCTTCTGACAGGTAGCTGCCAGTTGGTTAGAGCGTCGTCTGGATACGCCGAGGTCGTGGGTTCAGTTTCCGGTCAGGACAAATACAAGAACCAACCAATGAATGCATAGATAGGTGGAACAACAAACCAATGTTTCTTTCTCTCCCCCTTCCTCTCTCTCTTAAAAAAAATGAATACAAAGAACTAAATCTTGAAAAGAAATCATTTTGTTGTATATACCTTTTTATTATATATGTCAGTTATATCTCAACAGGACAGGAAAAAAAAGAAAACTACAATGAACTCTGTCTGGTTTACCCACCACCCAGCTTCTAAGAAATCCTTAAACGAAGGGCTGTGGGTGGGCTCAGAGAGGGGAATGGGAATGTTGCCAGAGCCTTACACACACACACACTACACCACACCACACCACACCACACCACACACACACTCCCCACACCACACACACCTCTCAGACTCCACTCTGGCTGCCTCTGGGGCTGTGACCCCAACCTCCATGGGGAACCGCAGGCAGCTGTCCTCCCCCTTTCCCGCCCCCACCCCAGTTCCTTCCTCCTTTCTAGCTTCTAGTGTAACCTGCGTTTCCCCAGCCGGCTCCTCTGTAGGTCTCTAGCTGCTTGCCAAGAACCTTGAGGCTTTGCCAGCTCTGGAGGACGAAGACATGGCCAGGGGCCCTGACAACACACCGAGGTGGGCAGCCCTGATGGTGCTGGCTGCCCTGGGCACAGCTGTGTCAGAGACCACCAACCCGGGCATCGTGGCCAGGATCACCCAGAAGGGCCTGGACTACGGTAGGCCTCCCTTCCCTCCTCTCCTGCCCCGAGGAGCCGTCACTGAGCACCTGCTGCGTGCAGCCCTTTAGCTCCAGTGCATGGCATGCTCACAGCTCCCCCAGATAGGCCCTTCACCCATCCAACATATGAAGAAACCAGGCAAGGAGAACTGCCCTAGATCACAGGGTCGGGCACTGGCAGAAGTGGGGCCGGAGTGCGGGGCCTGGAGGACTCCAAGTCTAGGGCCCCCAAGGGTTTCATCTTCATGATCCCCTCCTTCCCTCTACCCAAACCTCAACTCCGGCTTCTAGGCTGTTTACTTTCTTCCCAAGCCTGCTCTCAGCCCTGTCATGTGCCTCCAGGTCACTGGCTCAGTCTTCAGTGTGGGCAGAGCTCTGGCAGCCAGGAGGCTAAGTGGGAGGGGGGAAAGGGGGGCAGAGTGGGCATAGGGACAGCCCTTCTTAATGGTTCCTCAGGGCAGGGGGCTTGGCGGCCATACTGTGCAAAGTATCCATCTGAGTGCCCCAGGCCACCCTTCCAGCCCCAGAGAGAGGAGTGTGGGGCAGGAAGCGGCTTCTGCTGACCCGCTCACCTCTGAACTAGGAGCTTCACACACATCATCTTGGTTTAGCTTCATGTCCCCCTGGGTGGGATATACCGCTGCTAGCAACCTTTATGATGAGCAAACTGAAGCTTTGAGAAGGCACTGACTCGGTAGGCCAGAGGGCCGCCTGGATTTGAGCTCTGGCCTTGTCTGATGTCCCCACGTCGGGCTGCTTGATGCTGCCTCCCAGTGGCAGAACGATGAACTGCAGAAGCGTGGAGAAATAGAACAAGAAGGCAGAACCTTAGGCCCTGGTTTCCACTGCTGCATCAGGTCCTGACTCAGGGGTACCTGGTCTCTCATCCCTGAATTCCTACCCCAACACAGGCAGGAACCTCTGAACCCCAAGGGGACAGGAGTGCGGCCCTTCTCTGAACAGTGCTGGGGTGGCCCTGAAGGCTTGCCGGGAGCAGAGGCTTGGGCTCAGCTTTTAAACCGGGAAGTCTCCAGATTCCATCACAGCAGCCCCGGTTTCCCCTTCTACTCACACCCCCAATGGGAACCACAGTGGGTTTCCTAAATGCAGCAGATCTGCTTGTGTCCCTCTCCTTACTTACACTATTCAGCGGTGCCCTAGTGCCCTCATGTCCTGACCTCTGGGCATGACATTCAGGACCCTTCATGACCTGGCCCCTGCCGACCCACAGATCCCGGCCAGCCCACACCCCCCCCAACCCCCCATCCTGCCCAGGCAGTGACAATGTGTGTGTTATTTACTTGCGACCCCTCCCCCCCCAGAAGGTTCCTCAAAGGGTATGGGTTCTGGAACCAGAAGGCCTGGATTCAAATCCTGCTTCATCACTTGTCAGCTGTGGGGCCACCTTTCTGACTTTCAGTTTTCTCATCTGAGAACTGGGGGTGACAACGGACTTACTTCCTAGGATTGTTCAGATTTAGTAACTTAACACATGTCCAAGGCCCAGAGCAGGGCCTGGAATAGAGTAAGAGCTTGATAGATGTTTATTTATTTTATTATTATTATTATTATTAGTAGTAGTAGTAGTAGTAGTAGTAATAGTACTTTCTAACTGGTTCTTGGAAAGCACAAACCTGGGATCCCTCATTTTACCAATTACTCCTTCTCAGGTATTATTTGCCTTTTTTGTTGGTTCTTTGACCAAGCAACAGGATTGGCACGTGCAAAAGGCCCTAAAGAGACCTTGTCAAAAAGCCAGAGAGATGGAGTACCAGTGAGGGAGCAGCACAGAGTTAGGCACAGAGTAGGTGTGCAGTCAATACCCATGGGATGCATGGCTGGGTGTTAAGGGGTGATATTTTAGAACAGGAGTTGGCAAACCACAGCCTGCAGGGCCACTGCATTTTTTTTAAAATGTATTTTTATTGATTTCAGAGAGGAAGGGAGAGGAAGAGAGAGATAGAAACATCAATGATGAGAATTATTGATTTGGCTGCCTCCTGCACGCCCCACATTGGGGATGGGGATGGAGCCCGCAACCCGGGCATCTGCCCTTGACTGGAATCGAACCCGGGACCCTTCAGTCCGCAGGCTGACACTCTATCCACTGAGCCAAACCAGATAGGGCCCACTGCATGTTTTTGTGTGGCCCGGGAACTAAAAATGACTTTCACATTTTTAAACATTGGAAAAAGCCCAAGGAAGAGTGATATCTCACAGCATGTGAAAATTATGCAACATCGAAATTTCAACGCCCACGAAGTTGTCCTGGAATACAGCCACACCCACATTTACAGACTGTCCACGGCAGCTTCGGGCCAATAGGAGCAGAGTCGAGTGGTTGTGACAGACAGTTGTAGCCACAGAGCCAAAAATATCAACTCTCTGGCCTTTTAAAGAAAACTGCAGCTTTAGACCTTTTCAATCCCACCGGCCGTCGATGGACAGGTGCCCAGGCTCCCAGGCTGTGCCCCTGACAATCACCCTGCTCTCTCCCCGCAGCCCGCCAGCAGGGAGTGGCCTCGCTGCGGAGGGAGCTGGGGAAGATCGAGATCCCCGCTTTCTCAGGAAGCTTTAAGATCAAGTACCTGGGGAAAGGCGAATACAACTTCTACAGGTGAGGCCCGTCGAGCTCAGTCGTCATCTGCAGGACTTGGTAGTATTCCGGGGCCACCAACGCCAGAACCACAGGCCACAAACTCCTAAACACGGAGTGGAGGCCCCCAAGCTTCCACCAGAAAAACCATCTTTCAGGCACTCAGCATGACTCCCTGGGGGACATGTCACAAACCCCCAAAACTCTGTGGTAGGCCCACATATCAGTTAGGATCTGGGGGGACAGGGTTTAAGGACAGACAGCCTAATCCCAAAGGGCCTCAGCAGTAATCACTGGCTCCCGTGGCGGAGAGGACCCTGGAGCAGTCTAGCGTCAGGTCAGCTGGAGACGGGCACTGCACCTGTCTCCCCCTGGCCACCTCTCAGAATCACCTCCCCAGGCGGCTCTAACGCCCGGGCAGGTGTCTTCTCCAGGAGGCAAGAGGGCCACCGGCATTTTGGCACTGCCAGTCCCCTTCTCCTGGCACCTCAAGTAAACCCCCCGAGATTCACGCTGGTGTATCTCAGGTTATGTACAGACTCCTCAACAGCGCATCGTGGTCTGAGGAATAGAACCTGCTAATTAGCTTTTGCCCAAATCCTAAATGTAACCTCCCCCACTTCCCGAAGATGGAGGCAAAGTCAGCTTTCTCTGGAGCAACATAGAAACGTTAAATGGCAGCTCTGAAAACGCAATAAGATTGTGTGGGTGCTGGGTGGGAGAGCCACAATGTTCTGTTATACACCTATTCACTCAGCCGATATTCGTGAGCATTTACACTGTGTCTGACACAGCAGGCTTTGCTACACAGTGAAAAAAAAGAGACACATTTCATCCCTTTACAGAACTTAACCACTGTGGCTATGACTGTCGTCAATTGGACAACATGTAATTTTATTGATTGCCACACACGATGATGAAAGATGGAATTTATTGTGCCCATTTTACAAATGAGGAAACTGAGGCTCAAGGATGGTTAAGGGACCTGCCCAGGGCTACACAATAGCACATGTAAGAGCAGGATTCGAATACAGATTTGTCTGGCTTCAAAGCTTAGCCACCCTGCCCCATGCCCAGGGCTCCCAAGGCTGCTTTCATAGCTTCTGGGTTGTCCTGGCAGGGATGGGGTGGAGGGCCTGGGTGGGAAGAATGACTCTACATGCACCATTGGCTGAGTCCTTGTGTGGGCCCCCAGAAGGCTAACAAAATATTTCTTCTTCGCAGTCTGGTTATCCGTGAAGTTCAGCTGCCCAGTTCCCAGATAAGGCTGTTGCCCAACGAGGGCCTGACTCTCTCCGTGACAGATGCCAGTGTCAAGATCAGCGGAAAATGGAAGGCACGCAAGAATTTCATGTGCGTTCCCGGACCTGGGGTTGATAAGTGGGTGGGACGGCTCTTAGTGACACTCAGAAGGGATGAGAACCAGGATCTTGGGAATGCCCAATGTTTGCCTTGCCCATCACCACTTGCCTCCCGGGGCTCCTGGGGGAATTTTTTTACAAAAGATTCAACATAACCCTTGTTTAGTAGCTGAACATTTGCCCTCATCTCAATGCAGGGCATGGGCAAGGCTGAGTCAGTGCCTGTGGCTTAGGATGGAAGGTGAAGTGGGACCTTTAATTCACCCCTGTAACAGCTAGCTATTGCCCTGTAACAAGCATTGCTGACTCAGGGGCCTAAAACAAGTCGTATATTATCACTTGCACATCTATGTGTTGGCTGGGGTTCCTCTGTCTAGGTTGGGCTTAGCTGAGGTGGCTCTTGTCTTCCTCCTCTCAGGACCAGTGGGCTACCCAGAGCATGTGCTCGGTGATGGCCGGGCTGCAAAAAGACAACAAGAAACGTGCCGGACCCCTTAAAGCCTGTACTCAGAACTGGCCCACAGTCACTTCCACTCATATGCCATTGGCCAAAGCAAGTCACATGGCTATACCCAAAGTCAAGTGCATGAATGCACATCCCTCCTCCCCGTTCCTTCTCTTCCTCCCCCTCCCCTCCCCTGGCACACACACCATAGGCAATGGCGAGGGTATGAATGCAGGAAGGGGTAAAAGATTCGGGGAAATCATCCAAACTACACCCTGAATCGAAATACTGGGCTCTCACCACAGTGGTCCTGTCCACTAATGACCGTGGCTCGGACTGACCAGTCGCTTTAGCAACGTCTCTCCTGTGTGGGGAATCCAGGGAGGACATGGAGGAGAAGGGCGTGACTCTGGCCTCCCTTTCGAGGACACTGAGTCTGTTTGTTCCCTTTAAGAATGGCTGAAGTCTTCACGTGGGCTCTTTTGTACTTATTATTTCACTTACTGATCACATTCTCACACACACACACACACACACACACACACACACACACACACACACTCACAGTAATACTGCATTGTAGTAGAGTTGACAACCTGCATTCATGTCCACTCATGGTCCTTATTCATTCGTGGGGCTCATAATGCCTTCCTCCGGGATGAGTTTTGGCTATTGCTCCATGGGTATTGGCCAGTGGTCGGCAAACTCATTAGTCAACAGAAAAACGATTGAAATTTCTTTTGAGAGCAAATTTTTTTTTGGCTTAAAAAAACTCATCCCCGAGGGAGACATTATGAGCCCCACGAATGAACAAGGACCCTCATTCGTTGAAGTCATTGGCCCCAGACGACCAGCTTCCAGTGGCACAGCTGGTGTCCCACTACTGTCGCAGGCTCTGGGTGTGGATCCCGGGGCTCAGAGAGGTGGGGAATGCTCCCTACACTCCACAGCCTGGGCTGAGGCTGGGCCGTGGGGGAGAGCAGGCTCCTGCCAGGCGGACGCAGTGGAAACTTCAGGGCGGACTCCGGGTCTCACTCAGCGGCCGTGTGGCTGTGAGCAGCTGCCGCCCTGCCCTCTCTGAGCCCGGAGTGGGGACAGTGGCAAACCCTACCTTACGGCATTGGCGGGGAAGAAGGTGCTGCTCCACGCCCCCCTTTGTCTCCCTCCAGCAAAACCAGCGGCGACTTTGTCCTGAGTGTGCAGGGCGTCTCCATTGCGGCTGGTCTGAAGCTGAGCTGCGACCCTGCCTCAGGCCACTCCACCGTGGCCTGCTCCAACTGCAGCAACCACATCGACAGCATCCGCGTGCACGTCTCCGGCAGCCACCTGGGGTAGGCCTCCTGGGGATGGGGGTGGCAGGGGGACATCAAGAACTGTCCTGAACATCCCTGTGCTGAGAAAACATGTTGCTCCCTCCAGGCCTTGATAGAGGTCTCGGGTGTAGGGGAGGACGGGAGCCTCTGAGGGAGCAGACCCCGCCCCTGCCTCCAGGGGCCCTTGCTCACTCAGCGTGCACCCAGCAGGCTCACTGAGCTCACCCATTGCCCCAGGCTCTGGGCTGAACACTGGCTGTGCACCCTGTTACACCATCCTCACCACAACCAGTCGGCCAGCCACTCCACACATAGCTACTAAGAATCCTATGCACCAGGCTTATGCAACGTGCTCAAGGAACATCAGTGGCCAATACCTGTGGTGGGCAAACTGCGGCTCACGAGCCACATGTGGCTCTTTGGCCCCTTGAGTGTGGCTCTTCCACAAAATACCACGGCCTGGGTGAATCTATTTTGAAGAAGTGGCGTAAGAAGTAGTTTAAGTTTAAAAAATTTGGCTCTCCAAAGAAATGTCAATCGTTGTACTGTTGATATTTGTCTCTGTTAACTAATGAGTTTGCCGACCACTGGCCAATACCCGTGGAGCAATAGGCAGCTAGTTAACAGTGATTGGAAGCTCACGGTGTGGCTGGCACTGTTTCAAGCACGTGCGTTCCCTCAGTCAGTCCACACGATGACACTGTGGTTAATCCATTTTCAGGGGAGACAACCCAGGCTCAGAAAGCATAGGAAAGAACCTGAGTTTTCATACCTCGTGATTATTGAGAAGGGATTCAGCCCAAGAATGTCTGGCCCCTGATTCTTAGCCACACGGTCCCTGTTCTCTTGAAGCCCCCAGCCCAGCGGGGAAAACAAAGATTAGTCAGATTATTACATTAATGAGCAGCTCACAAAGAATTGCAAAAAGGATGCAAGAATGAAGAAAAAAGAGGTACAGAGTGGGCAAACGCTTGGAACAGGAGGATCTGACCTAGTCTGGGGGCTGGCCAGCTCTCCCTTGATGAAATGACATTTGAGTTGAGATGAAAAGAGTAAGTAGGAGTTAATGAGGCTGCTGTTGGGGACAGGGAGGTTGTTAGCAGAGGGAACAGCACGTGCAAAAGCCCTGGGGTGGGCGGAAGCACAGGACACAAGAGGATCTGGCAGAGCCGCCTGGCTGGGGTGCAGAGGGGAAGGGAAGTGGCCAGGAATGAGGCTGAGATGGGGCAGGGGCCCAGCCGCGCCCCTGCTGAGGAAATAACCTTACCCACAGGTCCCTGCCACAGGGGCAGAGGGGTATGATGGGGCACGTGTATCCCAGGGACCAGGGTGCCTATGCCTGTTTGGAGCGGGGAGGAAGGCTTCCCAGCACAGCCCAGGGAGGCTCACGCATGTCAATCCGCAGGTGGCTGATCCAACTCTTCCACAAAAAAATCGAGTCTTCGCTCCAAAAGGCCCTGAGCAGCAAGGTAGGAGGAGCTCCGATCAGAGTGGGAGGGGCCCTCCATGTCCACTCACTCCATGCTTCCCTGGACACTTCTGCCCTCCCCAGACCCCCCGAGTCCTTCCAACCCTTTGCAACCACAACCCCAGCTCTAAAAGCCAGGATGCCCATGTTTCTGAGGAGTCCAGGGAGAAGCCAAGAACGGGTCACCGCCCACACCCACAGCAAACCGCCATGTCGGCGTGGACTACCTCTGTTCCTCCGCAACCTTCTTCCCTGCAAGAAACTGCCATCCTCTCCCCACCAACCGTCTCTTCTGTTAGCCCTTTGGCCTCCTACCCCTTCCCCGCCCACTCTGAACCCCCTTCCCGGTGTTCCCCACCTGGAAAATGTGCAAGCGCTGAGGCGGCCAAACTGTTCTGGGCTGGAGCTGGTATGAGTGTCAGGCACCGGCCAGTTCTCCAAACCTGCCTCACCCCCGTTCTCCTGGCCCCACACAACAGCAGAGAAAAGGGGCCCTTCATCGGGCTGGTTTTCCATCAATAGACCACCGGCTTGCAGGATGCCCCGAGCCTGACTCACAAGCCAAGTAAGCTGAGCTTCAGGGCACTGGAGAGCCAGGGAAGGTTTCACCGGGCCCGGCCCGATCCGGGCCTTAGAACAACCTCTCTGACTGCGTGAGAACGGCGGGCGAGGCCAGAGTTGGGGTGGGAGAGGCCGGGGTGGGGACAGGAGTTTCAGGGAGACGAGGAGGCTGTGCAGTCTTCAGGAAGGAGATGTTGGTTCCCCAGTCAAAGGCCCTCAATGAGATCATTTATCTGAAGGCATGGTCGAAAGTTGTGGTGGTGGTGGTGGTGTTTTTTTAAATCAATGCATGGTTATCAAAATATGTAACCGTGGATTATACAGGGCTTTTAGAGTCAAGATGTCTGGGTTTTGATTCTGGCTCTAAGGCTGGACCAGGTGTATAAACTTGAGCAAAGTATTTGACCTTCCTGAGCCTCAGGTTCACCGCCCGTAAAAACCTTCATCAGCAAGGATTTAAGGATTATAGAGATGACGCAGGCAGCGTGCTTCCCACCTGCCTCGCAGACTCATAGTTCAATTGTCTTTGTAACTAAGTGATGGTATGAGGGGAGGGTTGGCACATATTTAATATTCAGAACTATTAAAACTTATTATTTCTTGGTAACACCTTAAGAGTGGCCCCTTGAGAGCAGCCAAGCTCAAAAGCAATGATACTGCTGCTGATGGTGAAGATGATAGTGGGGAAGATGGTGATGGTGAAGATGGTGCTGAAGGTGGTGAAGGTGGTGGTGGTGGAGGTGAAGGTGGTGGTGGTGGAGGTGAAGGTGGTGGTGGTGGAGGTGAAGGTGGTGGAGATGAAGGTGGTGGAGGTGAAGGTGGTGGTGGTGGAAGTGAAGGTGGTGGAGATGAAGGTGTTGGTGGTGGAGGTGAAGGTGGTGGTGGTGGAGGTGAAGGTGGTGGAGGTGAAGGTGGTGGTGGTGGTGGTAGTGGTGGAGATGAAGGTGGTGGAGGTGAAGGTGGTGGTGGTGGAGATGAAGGTGGGGGTGGTGAAGGTGGTGGTGGTGGAGATGAAGGTGGTGGAGGTGAAGGTGGTGGTGGTGGAGATGAAAGTGGTGGAGGTGAAGGTGGTGGTGGTGGAGATGAAGGTGGTGGTGGTGGTGGTGGTGGTGGAGATGAAGGTGGTGGAGATGAAGGTGGTGGTGGTGGAGGTGGTGGTGGTGGAGATGAAGGTGGTGATGGTGAAGGTGGTGGTGAGGAAGATGATGGTGGTGATGTGAAGAGGATAGCCTATATAGGCGGAGTGCTTTCAATGGGTTTGGAACTATGCAGAGAAGTCTGTTCAGGAATTAGCATTTAATCCATACAAAATCCCTACGAGGGGGTATATGTCATGATGATCCCATTTTAGAGATGAGTAAACTGAGGCACACAGAGAAGAAGTGATAGTGCTGGAAGGCAAGCTCAAGCCACCTGCCTCAGAGGCAAAGGTCTTAATCATAACAAGAGATTGTTCAGAAGCGGTACTGGCCTGAATGAATGAATGAATGAATGGACGGATGGATGGATGAAAGAATAAATGAGGGGCCAGAGGAAGGGCTAGAAATGGGGAAGAGTGATCTGGGAAGTGGAATTTCAAGAAATCCAGAGTGAAGGGTGGTGGGGAGGGAAGTACAAGTCTGTGTCAGGTGTGTGTGTGGGGGGGAGGGGAAGGATGTTGGGGGGTGGATTGAGCCAGGGAAGAGGGGCAGCAGCAGGAAGCCAGGCTCAGGCTGTGATGCAATTTGCTGTGCTTTGGAGCCATCTGGAGGCAGGTGGGCAAGCAGCACTGGAGACCAGTGGCCACGGGCAAGCAGCCCAGGTGTGCAGCTGGCCCAGGTGCCAGATGTGCTGTCCCCCTCCTGGCCACTTGGAGAAGAGGCACCAGTTCCTCAGAGAACGGCTTTCCAGGTCCTCTGGGACAGGCAAGCCTTAGGTGACAGAAACACACTCCAGGAAACCGTTTCATCCCTCCCTTATCCCTTTCCTTTTCCCTCCGGTTCCCTCCCGCCTTTTCCCAGATACAATAACTTGGTTGACTAGGGGAAGAAGGGGAGTGTGAATGCCTTCTGGGCAGATGGGGGTGGGGACAGCCCTGAGGAGGAGTAAGAAGCTGAGGGGTTTGGCTGAGACAAGGTGGCCTTGGGGGCCTGTGGCCTGGAGGCAGCGGGGCCCTCAGGTGTGTGTGTGTGTGTGTGTGTGTGTGTGTGTGTGTGTGTGTGTAGCACACCTTGACTCTGCCCTTGTGTTTGGAGCAGGAAGGAGGAGACTTTGCTTGGGTGCCCTGCCCCAGGCAGGTGCTGTGACAAATTCAGGTGCAAGACACTTATTGGGAGGGTATCCCAGGCAGAACAGCGAGGGGGTAGAGGGGCTGGGACATTCTGAGTGGGCTGGCGCTGAGGACACTGGGCTCAGTCCTGTGGGCAATTCTCAGGAACGGGGGTGGGGGTTGGGGGGGCACATTCACCTCAGAACTTCCCCAAAGGGGTGAGGAAGCTTGGTATTTTAGCCACCAACCCCAGCTCTCTGTGGTTGGGGCTGTTTCTGGCCCTATAACTCCTTGGCGCATGGGAGCAGGCCGGGAGAGTTGTGGGTGAGGGGAGCTGTTCACACAGGTGCAGGGATGCAGGGGGCCTAGCAGGGGCCTGGGGGTGCCTGGCAGGGCTGCGGGAGGGCGGGGGGGGGGGAGACCTGTGAGCAGGAGGCAGGGAGCCCGAGAGGAAGGAGCTCCGATATGCCAGAGGGAAGAGGAGCTCTGAGGCGTCCGGGGAAGAACGAGTGAAGGGACAGATGGAGAGTGGGGAGTTCGGGGTCCTGAGACTCCAGGAGGAGCATTTCTGGGGGACAGTGGCCCCCCTGCCAGGGGCTGCCCAACCGTCAAGAAAGGCGAGGACCGGGGACTCGGTTGGATTCATGAGGCAAATGTCACCAGACACTGGGGGGCAAGTCCCACTCGTGCAGGTAGGGGCTTACCTGACCACCCCGCCCCCAGCCCCATGCCTTCAGTTAGGGAGGCCTGTGCTTTTATCCTGTTTTCCAGCTATGTCTGGCTTGGAAATAAAGAGCCCCGAATATGGTGTCATAAAGCAACTGCCACTTTACAACCCTCCCAGGTCAGGGAATCAACAGGGCAGCTTTGCTCGTCTCTCCTCCATGCTGACTGGGTCCCATCCGGGGAGACCCACAGCTCAGGGCGTGGTGCCTGGGCTGGAGACCCTTGAAGGCTCCGCTCAGCTGGGACTGCTGATCCAAGCAACTACCCATGGCCTTTGCGTGTCCCCGGGTTCGAAGCGACCAGAGAAGCAGCATTTCAAGGGGCCAAAGTGGGAGCTGCACAGCCATGTATGGCCTGGTTTCTGAAGTTACACAATGTCACTTCTGCCACCACACACACCTCCTGCCCCCAGATTCCAGGGGGCAGATCACAGACCCACCTCCCGATGAGCAGCAGAATGGGAAACAGAAGCTGTCACGCTCCATTTTACAGATGGGAAAATACAGGCCTAGAGAAATGAAGGGACTCCCTCTGTGGCAAAATCAGCATGTGACCCAGGACTGTTCAGACTTGTGCTTATTTCCTTGTGAGTCACATGAGGGGCAGGGAGGTCGGGGAGCGTCCGTCTGGCCATGCTCCGCATCAGTGAGTGTGCCCAGGCTTGAGCAGAGGGCTGTCCCTTGCTCCCAGCAGCACAGGCTGGAGAAGGTTGACACTGACCGCTTCCTGTCTTTCACTACCTCATTCCACAAAGGATCGGAGGCAGCAAAAACAAATGGGTAAATGCAAACAACAAAAAAGTCCCACGTTAAAATAGAGAAAGCGTAAATACCCAATAAGAAACTTCCACACTTTAATCAATAAAATGCAGACACGCAGACCATCCAGTCATATAGAGTTACTATTTCCAAGCTACATGATGGACTCTGAGCCAAAGAGAAAAGGGAAACTGGATTAGTTACATGACTTTCAAGGAAACATTCCAGGAAAGCAAGACATGTCCAGGTCATTACTCTGGAAGAACGTGTCACCCTATGGGAAGTCCTCCCTGATCACTTCTTTTGTTCTCGCCAGATCTGCCAGGTAGTGGCCAAGTCTGTGTCCTCCAAGCTGGAACCTTTTTTCCAGTCAATGCCAGGTGAGTGCTGGGGTCGAGGAGATGGAGGCAGAAGGGGTTGAGGGATAGAAAGACAGGAAGAATGTGATGGAGCCTGGGGCTGGGTGTGAAGGGGTAGAACAGATTATTTTCAAATGGCAATCACTGGATCCCTATTGGGCCAGGTCTATAGCAGTTTTTCTCTCTTTTTCATGTCCAGCATGGAAAGGAACGAGTCTGGTTGCTTAGTGGAGGAGCTGGGGATTAAGAAATGAAAGAAAGAAAGAAAGAAAGAAAGAAAGAAAGAAAGAAAGAAAGAAAGAAAGAAAGAAAGAAAGAAAGAAAGAAAGAAAGAAAGAAAGGAGACCAAGATGCAGAAATAGAAGCAAGCTGGGAGCTAGATGGGACACCATTCTCTCTGATGGAGAGGCATGACTCCCTGAGCCTCAGAGTGGGTACATTTTTATAGGATCAAAGGAGCTTATTTGCATTCGTAAGTAGGCCCTAGCATTCCTACATTTACATATCTAGTCCTGCCCCTGCTGACACCTGGGCTGATATGAAGGCCAAGCTGACAACATATCTAGCCTTATTGGGGAAGCATGGTTCTGCCTATCACCCTGAGTTCAGCTGATGATAATTAAAAGAAATGCCTATGTGCCTTCCCAGGCGGCCCTCTACACAGGTCCTTGTGGCAAGTCCAGAAGGGAGGTGGGAAAACACCCACTCATTCTCCTATCCCTGCAACCAAATGCCCTCAGCTCTCTGCGGCCAGACACACATACTGTCTTGAGATCTGGGACTGATCGTTTTGCCTCTCTGAGCCTTAGTTTCCGATTCTTTAAAACTGAGACAACGCTCTCTATCCCCAAGCGCTTGGCAAACTGTGAAGTGCCCCCGTGGGTGGGGGAGGCCTCCCCTGGCCGAGTGCTCACCATGTGCCTTGCACCCGGTAGAACTGTCCCTTCATGTCCTCACGACACCCCACTGAGTGTGCATATCTTCCCAATGTTACCACGAGGAAACACTCAGAAAGGAGCCCTGACTTGCCCTGGGCTCCCGGCCCCCCGGCCCCCCCCTCCCCCGAAGCCTGGCATGGCAGACACATGGTTTATGCCCACCGATGATGCTTTACCTTGCTCCAGGCACCACCTAGCCCTCCGGGGACAGAGCCCATCCTGGGAATGTGCAGGGCAGTTGCCATGTCCAAGGTTTGGCCTCGCCGGGCAGGACAAACATGCTGGTTTTGAGTCCCAGCTCCAGGCTGTCCTGCCATCTTGGATAGGCTGCCATTTCTGAGCCTCTAACAACAGGAAGAAAGGGCTAAAGGAGGAGCCGGCATTTATTGAATTTGTACTGTTTGCTGCTGGGAGACAGAGAAACTAAACCTCTCAGGCCTGAGCCAGCCAGGGCTCAGCCTGAGATATTACTGATACTATTATAATATCTGTGCCTTCTGGTGTCTGAGCCCCAGCATGTACAGGGCACAGGGCACACACTTCTTCTCACTTAGCCTCCGGCACCATGAGCCACTGCCCTCACCCCATTCTACAAATGACAAGAAGTGATTCAGGGAAGCAACAGGACATGTCCAAGGACTTACAGAATTTGATGCAAGCCCAGGTCTCTCTGCCCTGTTAGCCTGTGTTTTAGCTTCATCCAGGGGCTGCTGGAAGAAGGGGGGAAGACGATGGCCATGAATCCGGGATGTGGATTCATTTTCTCTTAAAGGGAGCTCAGGGTGGGCTCCCTGGAGGAGGTAGAAACAGAACAAGCACTACAGATCTTAATTCATCTTTAGGGGGTGCTGACCCTGCATCAAAGGCCACAAAGATGCTGCCATAGGGAGCCAGCTCATGTCCGTCTTCTTTTCCTCCAGTGACAGCCAAAATCGACAAGGTGGCCGGGATCGATTACTCACTGTTGGCAGCACCGACAGCCACGACCGAGACCCTGGATGGGCAGCTGAAGGTGAGACTTACACCTGCAATCGTATATCCTCCCTCTTGGGGCTCCCCATCCTCCTAGAGACAAATCGTACAAAGACCCCAGCCCTTCCTCTCTGTCCTCACCCACCTGCCTCTGAATCTTCTCCCTGCTCAGGCACACCGCCTCCTGTCTGTCATCCCGGGAACACACTCGGCCTGCTCTGTCCCTGGCGTGGCCCAGGCCACTCCTCTGCCCGGCAGGCTCTTGCCCAGAGGACCCCCAACTCTGGCTCTCCCCTCCTTCCTCAAATATCCTCTACTCAAATATCCTCTCTCCTGGAGACACCTTCTCAGACCACTGTCACAGAGACAGCTCCTTCCTCCTGCCCCCTATCTGCTTTATTCTTCTCAGCAGCATTTATTGCTAACGTGCACGTACAAACACACACACAGCCACTCACTCGGATTGAAAGAGCAGGGGCTGTGACTGCTTTGTTCTTCACTGTATGTGCAGCACCTAGCTCTGTGCTTGGCATACAGCAGGTGCTCAATAAGTATTTAGTGAATGGTGGATGCAATGGAAGACAACCAGGTGATGTTCTCTCACATCGATGTTCTCTCTCCCTCTCCCCCCCCCCCGCCCCTCCCCTTTTTCTAAACTCATTGGGCATATCCTCAGGTGAGGATTTAAAAAACAAAAAGAAACATTACCATTTGGTCATATTTGTCTCTGACTTTTTAAAAAATGAAACACTGTAGACCTAAGGAGCTCAGGCCCTCTCCAAACTCGCTCATCCCCACCTCCTGATGTAGTCACATTGAGGACATCGGTGTTTGTCCTTCTCCACTACGTGTGTCTGTAATTCTTACACAGTATGTTTTGTAGGCCTTTAAATTTCACACAAATAGTATCTGACCATATGTATTCATCTACAATTTGCTTCTTCATAACTCAACATTATTATTTTTTTAGCTAAACAGATTGTTTGCTTTTGCAGTGTGTTGCTAAATTGCTCTTCAGAAACATATAAAAATATATTCTCTGAGCCTGTGAATAAACTGGATAGTATGGGTTTAAAGTATATTGCATTGCTCAGTGGTTGAGCGTCGACCTATGAACCAGAAGGTTATGAGTTCGAATCCCAGTTCAGGCACATGGCTGGATTGCAGGCTCTATCCCCAGGGTGAGGCATGAGGGAGGCAGCCAATCAACGATTCTCTTTTATCATCGATGGTTCTATCTCTCCCTCCCTTTCCCTTCCTCTCTGAAATCAATAAAAATATATTAGAAATAAAATAAAGTACAAGTATACACACAACAGTTCACCTGTCTCTTGGAAATTGCTGCTAACTTGACGGGTGAAGAAACAAGCACACAGAAGAACCCATTGTTCGTTTAGTAGAATTTCTGTGCTTCCGGCCAAGGTTGAGGCAGAGCCAATGGAATGGCTGGGAGAGAGCGCCCAGGTTGCTCTGCCCCTGACCCGAGTGACCTGAGCCAGTCCCCCCCCCGCCCCCCACCCCAGCCACCCCCCTGCTCCGTGTGGGCTCCTGTGAGATGAGCATGGTCGCCCTGTCTCTCAGGCTGGGGGAAGGGCACGTGGACCGTGGCGCCGGGAGACGTGTGGTGCTGTTGTTAGTTTCTGGCCACGGCTTCCTCCTCTGTGAACGCAGTGCTGGCATCTTCAACCCATGTTTCCTGGAATAAAGACATCGCATTATAATTCCTGAAGGATGGCCGGGCTCACTCTGTCGCCCACCCTTAGGGGGAGTTCTTCAGCCTGGCCCACCGCAGCCCCCCGCCCTTCGCCCCGCCGGCGCTGGCTCTGCCCATGAACCACGACCACATGGTGTACCTGGGCATCTCGGACTACTTCTTCAACACGGCGGGGCTCGTGTACCAGCAGGCGGGAGCTCTCAACCTGACTCTCAAGGATGACATGGTACGTCTGGGCCGGGGCTGGGTGTGGGAAGAGCAGCAGACGGCCTGGATTTGAGTCTGTGCACCCTGGGGAGACTGAGGTCTGGACCCCAGAATCAGCTGGACCCGAGTTCGAATATCGATTGGCCCCCTCTTTTCCGGGTGAGTCACCTTCGGCCGGTGACTCCACCTCTCAGAACCTCAGTTTCCTCATCTGTAAAACACCAGTAGCAGGCTCCGCCTCCAAAGGGGGTGGTGAGGATTACGTGAGATATAAACGCACGGGAAGCACTCAGCACAGGCTTAGCACGTGGGGATCCTCGGTGAGTGCTCCTGGTCACGGCCAGCACCGACTGAGTCCTCCTTCATGCCGGCCTCTGTCACCCGGTCTCAGCATCATGTCATCATGTCAAGGCTGAGTCCCGCTCTAGGACTCAGTTTACCCATCTGTAAGATGAAGAGAAGGCCATCCTCTCCAGAGTGTAGGTGCCACCTGATCCCAACCCAGTCACCAACCACATGCGATGCCACTCCTGGAAGAGAGGTCATGTTCCCCCTCTCCGTGGAGGTACCACAGGGATGCTGAGGCCCCCCTGACTCCGTGGAAATAAATGAAGGTCACCCGAAGGAGGACGCTTTAGGGCAAGGGGGTCAGCCACCACTTGCATTTGGCAAAGACAGGCAGGGGAAGGGAAAGCTTTCTGCTGAATTTGGGGGTGAGAGGGACACAGAGGTGTGCGCTTATGGAGCTTGTCAGGTGGGGAAGCTGGATGTGGGTAATAGAAGCTGCGTATTCGATATGATTGGTTTAAGGGCATATTTGACGTTTTGGGGCCAAAAGGAGATTGGGCAGCTGGCAGTCATGGAGCTGGTCCTGACTGTCGTGGGTTGGCTGCTGCAGAAGCCCTGGGTCATTGATCCATTGTCCTATAGGCCTGGCCATTGTGTTTGTGTATTTCTTCCCTCCCCCTCATATGGAATTTGCCCCCCTAATCTAGAACATAATTCTCCAGAATCTTTTTTCTTCTTCTCTTGCTACAGATTCCAAAGAAATCCAAATTCCATCTGACAACCAAGTACTTTGGAACCCTCATACCCAAGGTAAGAAAAGGCCTTCCTTCCCTCTCCTAACCCCTCTCCCCCCGCTATAGTCAGATCATGCATCAGCTCAGGTGGGTGCTGGGAGGCCAGGGCTCTGCTGAGCAGCCTGACGAGAGCCCCCTCCAGATCCAGGGGAGTCCAGCCTGAGAGGGTAGCAGTAGCATGCTAAGCCCACCCCAAACAGAAAGGCTCAGGTGTGAGAGCGGCTGGGTGCTGGGGGCCCTGGGCTGGGTATCTGCCAGAAAGGCCACAGCCCTGCCTTCCTGGGGCTCCAGTCCAGTGGAGAGAGAAAATGACTCGTCAGGCACCCAACACAATAAGAAAGAAATGCAGACTGTGATGAGTGAAGCCAACAGGTTGATAAGGTCGTTAGACAAGGTAGCTAAAGAAAGCCTCTGTTTCAAACAGCTCAGCTGCCATAACCAAATGCCAGACTGGGTGGCTTCAGCATCAGGAATTTACCTCTCACAGTTCTGGGCCATGATCAAGGTGGCAGCTGATTCGGTTTTTGGTGAAAGCTCTCTTCCTGGCTGGGAGATGGCTGCCTTCTTGCCCTGTCCTCAGATGGCCTTCCTGTGAGCACTTAGGGAGAGAGCGCTCTGGTATCTCTCCTTATAGGGCCCCACCCTTATGACTTCATTGAATTGCAATTACTTCCTTAAGGTTTCATCTCCAAATACAGCCACAGTGGGGATTAGGAATTCTATATATGAATTTGGGGATGAGGGGGACATAAATATTCAGTCAGTGGTGATACTTCAAGAGGTAACTAGGGGAATTGTCTTGAAGCTTAATTTGCACAACAATCACATTATTTTTACTCACACTTTGAGTTTATCTGGGGAGGATTGGAGGCCAGCAGAGATGGGGAGGCACCAAATCCCTCCTCATTCCCCCTTGAAGCCACCACTGCTTTCTGAGGAGGTGACATTTGAACTAGGACCTGAAGGAAGGGAAAGAGCCAAGCTAGGAAAGAATGGAGGGACAGGCTTTCAGGGAGAGGGAGCAGAGCGTGCAAAGGGTCTCGGGAAAACAGCAGGTCCTCTTTGAGGAACTGGAGTCCCACGTGGCCGGCACTGGAGGTGAGTAGAGTGGGGCTGGCAGGGTCTCGGCTGCCAGATCATGCCGTCTGAGGGAAGACATTGGAGGTGTTTGTGCAGGGCCAGGACAGGATGTGGAAACTCTTAAGTGTCTCTTTTGTTGGTTGTCCCCACGGGGGTCTGCAGCTGGCCAAGATGTTCCCCAACATGAGCATGCAGTTCCTCATCAGAGTCTCTTCTCCGCCGCACCTCACGGTGTCCCCCGCCGGCCTTGCCTGCACCCCCACCCTGGAGGCCCAGGCCTTCGCCGTCCTCCCCAACTCCTCCTTGGCCCCTCTCTTCCTGCTTGGCATGGTAAGCTGTTCCCCGGGTGTGGGCAGGTGGGGAGCCCCGGACAGGGCTGAGAGCACGCCCTCAGGGTCAGGGCACCAGTGTGAATCCTGCCCAGATTCAAACCTGGACTCTGTAGCTCCAGGGCCTGTGACCTTACACTAACGGCTTTGGGCTCCTGCGGGCACTCATTCATTTGATTATTCATTCGTCATTGGTTTGAAATATGGGTGCTGTTTCCGATTCATTCACTCACATCTACAGCCACTTTTGCACGTGGGTATTGTTCATTCATTTATTCCTTCAATTAGTCACTAGATTGCTAACTTGAAATATGCTAAATCTCTCCTGGTTTACACATGCATCATTATTCATTTATTCATTTACTTATACCATTGTTCAATTGGTCATTTGTATATTTGTTCCTTCATTCATTATGTACTCATATGCCTTCAGTGGTGTGTTTAATCCCTCCCTTATTGGAGTTTTTATTCCATTGCTGATTTGTGCACTCGTTCATTTGATCACTGTGTCACACTGTGAACATTGGGGGCACCCACTCTGGCCACAGGTGGTGAGGCCAGACTTTCTCCCCACCAGGCCGCAGGCAGGTCTGCACAGTCTCAAACTGAGGCCCATTTCCCCCTGCTTTGCAGACTAAATGGGCTCTCACAGAGTCGCCCAAGGTCAGGCGGCAGCGGGCAGGAACGCTGAGGCAGGAAGCTCGGTTTTCTGACTCACCAAATGTTTGTTGAATGAATAAATAAATGAATGGCTGTGAGAATAGGGCTAGCTCGTGGCCTGACTCACAAGTAGCTTGGGAACTCAGACGTGGACTCGGGAGCTGGGGAGAAAATGGTGCTTGGTCCCAGCCCAGGACTCATCAACAAGGAGGAAGTAAAAGGGAGGTCACCCCTCTCCCGCCCTCCCCTGACACACACACACACACACACACACACACACACACGCTGGCCCTTCCACCTGTGGAGACCTCCCAGAGCCCCCAGGCCTCGCTCGGGCCAGCACCTCACCTCCTGGTTGTTGCTTTGCAGAGCACAAACGCCTCCGTGGAGGTCGGCGCCATGTCCGACAGGCTGGTGGGGGAGCTCAGCGTGGACAAGTAAGTGGGCCTGTGGGGCAGGGGGAGAGCGCTGCCCAGTCAGCCGTGGGGTCCATGAGCTAGCAATGACCTTACGGTGTGCCAAGTTCTATGCCACCGCTTTCCCGTTCACCCAGCACATTGAAGCTTCAGTGTGCCGAGGGCACCATGTTTCCACTTCGCAGACAGTGAAACTAGCACTCCGAGATGAAGTGGCTTGCCACGGCCACACGTCGGAGGGTACTAGCCATCTCAGTTTGCCCAGAGTGTCCCAGGTTGGGCACGGAAGGTCCCTCGTCCCAGGCACCTCTCAGTGTGGGCCAGCTCACGGCTGGGCAGTGCCGGCTGATGCCACTCCACACTGAACCACAGCCGCCCCCTCTCCCCTGATGACCCCGGCCTTCCTTGGCACTTGGAAAACCCATTTCAACGTCTTCACCCCCATCCTTGGGACTCTGTCAGCCACCCCTCTGCCCCTGCTAGGAGACTGGGGTCCATGTGAACCCCTGCAGAGAAGGTGTGGGAGTGTGGTGTCTGATGATACCTGCATCCGAAGCACAGCTCGCCGTGGTAAGCAACAAGCTCTTCACACGTCAGCGTCCTTGGCTGTAGAATACACCCAAGCATTGCTCTTCCACAGCAGCATTGCCGTGAGGATGAAATGAGGCATTAATGTGTGTTGTTGTGTTTGGAACACTTCAAGGGATCAAAACAAGTGCTCGATAAGGAAGAGGAAAAGAGAGACAGAGAAAAAGAGAAATGCAGGAATTGGAGGAGAGACAGAGAAAGAGAGACACTCTGAGAGAGGGACACACACACACAAAGGAAGAAAGGAAGAGACATCAAGAGAGACAGAGTGTGAGAGACAGAGAGACAGGCAGATGGGAGACACAGAAGAGGCAGCATCTCAGGGAAAGACAGAGACACAAAAGGAGGAAGAGGCAGAGACAGAGGTGACACAAAGAAAGAGAAAGACACCAGAGAGAGTAGGTGCCATGGTCCCAAAACATTCAGACCTGACATCTACCTCTTCTTCACACTCACACTGGTGAAGCTGAGTCTTGAGCCAGGCTCCTGCCCAGGTCCTGCTTCGCTCTGGCACTGAGGTACCCTTCTTCACCTTGACCTCAGCCCCTGAGGCCTCCATGCTGCTCCTTTCTGTGACATCCTTTTGAGAAGTGGCACTGCTTTGGAAACAGGTGGATTTAATTTTCCTTGAAATTCCCGTGGGCCTCTCAGGTAGAGGAGCCAGAGTGGACGCAGCTGGGTGATGGCTGAGCACAGACTTCCTGAAATAATCCACAGGGCTGGGGTCTCGGGGCTCCTAAGTCTTGGTGAACAAGAGTGAGTTTTCAAACAAAGCTTTGGCCTCGGGGGAGTTATTAGAAATCCTACTTTGCTCACTGTTAGCTGTGTGACCTTGGGCAGGTTGTTTGACCTCTCTGAGTGTGAGTTTTCTCAGCTGTAACATGCGAGTGTGATGGCCTTTGCCTCTTGGGGATTTACAGGAATTCATTGGGACAAAGTATTCAACAAGGTAAATGATAGGGGTTCAATAGATGGCCATTTACTTCTCCCAGTTCTCTGAGATCCCATTTAAAATGCTGCAAAGGCTGTAAAGAGGAGATAGTTGATTGGCTCAGGCAATTGAAAAGTCCAAGGGTTTCAGGCAAGGGTGGATCCAGGTGCTTCAGTGGTGTCCTTGGGACTCTGACTCGCTCCGTCTCTGGGCTCTGCTCTCCCCTATGCTGGCTTCCTTTCCCAGAGGGCTATCGCCAGGTGGTGACAGAGATGGTCATCAGCAGCTCCCTAAGCTTCCAGGAGAAAAAAAGAACATCTCGTTGCCAATATTTTCAGCTGAGACGGCCTCTCGCTGGACCAGCCATGAGTCACAGGGCCATCCTTGAAGCCATCACTGTGGACAGGGAGGTGAAATCTGCCCCTTGGCTAGCACGCCCCCAGCTTAGCACTGACAGTGTGACCAGAAGAAGCGGGATGATTGCTGGGAGGGGAAACCAAGTAGCCTTCACCAGAGTGGCCCTTCCTCCCCAGGAACTGAATTCTCATACGTGTCAGACAAATGGTATCTCACCTGCCCCTCCCCTTCTCACAGGCTGCTCCTGGAACTGAAGCACTCAGACATCGGCCCCTTCTCGGTGAGTGTGAGGAGGCCCTCGGAGGCTCCTTCCTTCCCCTGATCTTGAGATAACAGTCCCAGAGACCACTGGGCTCAGGGCATCATTTCAGGAGGCCACTGGTCATTTGCATGCGATTTGCATGTGAGGTAATGATGGGAGGAGCTTTGTTGCAGAGAGACCTGGGCTGGAATCTGTTCCTCACCTATTCACTGTGGGCTTTGGGCAAGTCACTCTCCTTTTGGAACTTCAGCCCTTCTCCACAAGCCAGGGATAATCCTTCCCCCTGGAGTTAATATGGTGAGGCTTCATTGGGATTAAATGTGCACAATCTGGTATGGGAGGTCTGCCTGGTAAATGTCTGTTGAATGAACAAATGAGTTACTTTACTGAGCACCTGCTCTATGGCAGGCGCTGCTCCAGGTGCTAGGATATGCTCATGAAGATGACAGGGAAGCAACCCCTTCTGAAGCTTTGCACCCTAGTGGGAAAGCAGATAATATGGAAGGAAGCTTACTTCAGTCAAGATCAATATGAAACACAAAATGGAAGTGTAGACAGGGATGAGACGGTTGAGGGTTAGACAGAGGGATCAGGAAGAGCCTCTCTGAGGAGGTGATATCAGGGCTGAGGGAGCCAGCGAGGGGAAGATTGCTGCAAGCAGAAGAAACAGCAGGGACAGCCCTGGTTTGGCTCAGTGGGTAGAGCGTCAGCCTGCAGACTGTATAGTCTCAAGTTCAATTCCAGTCAAGGGCATGTACCTTGGTTGCGGGCACATCCCCAATAGAGGGTGTGCAGGAGGCAGCTGATGGATGTTTATCTCTCATAGATGTTTCTAACTCTCTATCCCTCTCCTTCCTCTCTGGAAAAAAAAATCAATAAAATATATATTAAAAAGAAAAGAAAAAAAAAAAAGAAAAGAAATAGCAGGGACAAAGGCCCTGGGGCTGGCTCACCCTGCCTTCTGGGCTAGAGTAGACTGCGTTGGAAGGGCAGTGAGAGGAATGAACAGTTCCACACAGAGTGACATGATCTGATTTGTACCTTGATGAAAGTTGCTCCTGGCTGGGATTAGGAGCATGGAGTCTGGGGACAAGTCCAGACCACATTAATAAAAGGGGAGATGGGTGCATGTGTCCATGGGAGAGACAAGGCTGGGAAAAAAGAGGAAGATGATAGGTTGGGGACATGTACTTTGGAAGAAGGTCAGACAAAACTCTTTTTTTTTTAATTTTGTAAAATATGTTTTTATTGACTTTAGAGAGAGAGAGAGGAAGCAAGAAACATAAACATTGATTGGCTGCCTCCTGCACACCCCTTAGTGGGGACGGACCCTGCAGCCCATGACGTCTTGGTTCATGGGTCATCATTTAGCCATGGAACCACACTAGCCAGGCCAGGCAGAACTTGATGAGAGATATGATATGTGGGGTGAGGGAAAGGGCGTTGAAAAATGACACCTAGAGTTTTGGCTTGAGCAGCTGGGTGAGTGGCAGAGTCACTGAGATGGGGAAGGGCAGGTGGGAGGGAGAGGAGCAGGGTTCTCTCCAGCCCAGGTAGATGATTCCACTACCTGGAATCCCCGGCCATCACGAAGTGACTCACCCCTGCCTCCCTCGCCCAAGGAGGGCCCTGGCGGTGAGCTGCCCACGGAAGTAGCAGCTCCAATGCTCGTCAGCAGCTGCCCTGAGTGAGCATCACCCTCGTGGCCCTCATTAGAAGCCACAGCATGCTGATTCTGCCCACAGCGCCTTACTCCACGTGGCCTCTCAGCGAACCCCTGGAGGACATTTCCTTGGATCTCTGAAATGTCCCGATACCCCTCCAAGTGGGAGCCACCCCAAAGTCAGACCGTCCCAATGTCCCTCCACATCCGATGGAACTCCAACCAGCCGTGTCCATCTGATGAGAGATTACAACAACAACAAAAAGGACTCAAGGCTACCTCACAGGATTCACATGGGTTTACTGGTGCCAAGGCACAATCGTGTGATGACTCAGAGGGTAGCCAGCTGCTGTTTCTGCAGAAAATAAAAATTTTAAGTTCCTAGATTCATGGGGGAAAAGGGCACCGAGGACCCCAGAGAATTACAGCCTGGGAAAGGAGGCTCAATTGTTCAGGAAACAAAAATATGCATAATTACAAGTTGTAAATGTCACCACTGCAGGCAAAGCTCTTGAGGGTGTTACATTATTGTTGACTATTTTTTTTTTCATTGCAAAAGCAAAGCATATACATTATAGAACAATCCGAACCTACAGGTTTACAAATGAAAGAAAATAAAAACCATTTCCTAATTTCCCCATTAGTTAATACTTTAAGCTACATCCTTCCTCACCTTTTGCTATGCACATTCAGTAACAAAATGGAATTCTGTGGTTCCTACAGCCCGCTTTTCCTTACTCGAAAAATATCATGAATATGGAATGATAATTGTACTTCTACAGCGTCATGCATAACAATTGCGTAGTTTCTTAGCATCAGACTGCCACCATGTCCTCCAGATGGTTCCCTAAATGAGGACATGTAGGCTACTTTTTAAAAAATTGTTATCTCTATATATAAAGAGGTAATATGCAAATTAGGTTGGGACTCCGTAATGGTCACAACCAGACAGGAGGAGGTTGTGCGTGCAGGTGAGGCCTGGAGCGGAGACGGAGACAGAGGCAGGGGGGCGACCCCAGAGCGGACACTGGCAGGGCGGCCAGGGGACACTGTGAGTCAGGTTTGGGTCCCAGCCTGTAGGGTGCCTCCTTGCGTGGGAATTTTAATCTCAAGCTGAGCCTCTTGTTACAGTATAATTGACATACAATATTATATTAGTTTTCAGGTGTACAACACAGTGATTTGATATTTATATTCCTTACCGTGTAATCACTAATTCCAGTAACCATCTGTCACTGTGCCAAGTTATCACCCTATAATTGACTAATTACTATTTTTACCCATCCCTCCATCCCTCTCCCCTCTGGTGACCATCGTTTGTTCTTTGTTTCTGAGTCTGTTATTGTTTTGTTTTTTTTAGATTCCACATACACGTGAAACCATGCTGTATTGTCTTTATCTGTCTGATTTATTTACCCTCCAAGTCCATCCATGTTGTGGCAAATGGCAGAATTTCATTCTTTTTTTTTTTTTTTTTTTTTACTGTTGTGTAGTATTCCATTGTTTTGTTATATTCATCACTCTTTGAGCATCTTTACATTTCTTTCTGTCCGCATCCCAGTCACCTCCTCAGGATAAATGCCTTAGAGCATGTTTGCAGCCCACCAAACACACATTTTTAAGGCTTTTGATGAACGTTGCTGATTCACCCTGGGAAAGGTTGAGCCAGTGTGCCCTCCAGCCCGCGGTGCCTGAGAGAGGGCACTTTCACATTTACATACTCTGCTGACCATCCTTACCCCTGCCTTGCACCGTATAGTTTAGAACTTGGGTTACCACTGGAACCTTTAGAGTTAGAGATCACTCCTGTGACCTTGACCGGGCTGCAGAGTTTTCACATCACTTGGGTCCGTCTCTCAGCCTTTTGCAGTTGGGAGGTGCCCTGTGTGGGAGGGAGGGTGATGGAACACCGTGACGCCTCCAAGCCCTGACGTGGGTCCCGTCCTCCTTCCGGTTTCCAGGTGGAATTGCTGCAGGCCGTCATGAACTACATTGTGCCCACCACTGTGCTGCCCAAGGTTAACGGTAAGGGGCTTTGCAGAAGCGCCTGATGGCCAGTCCTGGGAGAAGTGGTGGGGAGAGTTCCCAGAGCCGCCTACCACCTGGCTCCAGTTGTGGGGGCTGAGGGTGGTCACCTCAGAGGAACCTCAGATGGCACCTGGCCCAGAATAGGAATGAAGATAATGCAACTCCACGTGGGGGGCCTTCTTGTTAAGTGCCCATCCGGTCCTTAGGAGTGGGGGTTATTAATATCTCCAGCTTTCATGGGAGGAGAGCAGAGGAGTTACATGTCCAGGCCACGGAGCAGGTGAGAGGCGGAGCTGGGTTTCCTCCCGCCTCTGACGCCAGGGCCCTTGGTCTTTTTCCAACTCCGGGAGGAAGGCTGTGGAGGAAGGGTCTCAGCTCGGGTCTGACGCTCACCCCGCTGGTGAGCCAGCCGCTAACCTTGGCAGAGCCAAGGGCAACCGTACACAGAGAGGCCCACATGACACGTGACTAGAATATTAACCATAATAAATGAGGACAACCACTTATTATATGGAGTCTGACATCCTCCCACTGTGAGACGTGTAGCTTCATAATGGCCTTGGAGACCAAGTTTGAATTTAGCATCCTCCCCAGTTCCAGTTCAGACGTGGTGGTGGCAGAGGAGCTGATGCATGGCCACCACCCGTCTCTACTTTTCTCCTAAACATTGAGGGGCTTCCTGCAGCCACAAGCAGATACCCTCATCACATGTCCACAGGCTGTCCACACCCGTGTGAACAGCGCCCCCTGGTTGCCACTCGGGCCTGGTGTCTGCCCGCTAGCAGGGGCTCACCCTCAGCAGGTGACCGTGGTCAGGGGGCCTGCTCAGGTCCTGGACATGAGCATGGGTTCTGGGGCGGGAATGGGAGGGTCCCCAGTTTCTTTCCAGCTCAGGGAGGCCGCCCCGCCCCCGGTTCTCTGCGGCCACTTGCTCCATCTTCTCCCGCCTCTTCCCTGACCCTGTCCTAAACCCCCGTTGCAGAGAGGCTGCAGAAAGGCTACCCTCTCCCGCTGCCCGCCGATGTCCAGCTCTTCAACCTGGTGCTTCAGTCTTACCAGGTGAGTCCCAGTCTCCGTCCACTGCACCCGGTGCTGAAAAGCTGTCCCCATGCAAGCCCCGGGCCAAGCACTTTCTACCCGCACGGCCACCCCGAAAGGTGGCTGCTTTCATAAACAGAGAAAGAAGACCAAGACTCAGGAGTGCCACGTGGCTGCTTAATGACATCCAGATCCAAAGCCAGGTCCCTGCATATATTTTTTGATTGATTTTTTTAGACAGAGAGAAAGAGAGAGAGAGTGAGTGAGAGAGGGATGTGGATGTGAGAAACATTGATTGGTTACCTCCCACCCGCACCCCAACCAGGGAGCCAACCTGCAACCTGGGCATGTGTCCTGACCGGGAATCGAACCAGCAACCTTTTGAATCAACTGAGCCATACCGGCCGGGGCCAGGTCCCTGCTTTTAACTGTTGGCTGTGTCCTTCACACCCGACACTTGGTAAAAATGGAACTCCCTCGGTGACACAGAGCCTCTTGTCTGAGGTGGCTGCATTTCATTATTGCTGCATGCCTCTTATTTGTATCTGCGTCAATCTACTCCTGTGGGTATGAAGCCTGGTCAGTGTCTGGCGAATTCAGATACCAGTACGGACCACCTCCCCCTGCCCTTCTCCCAGCCTGACCCCCAGTAGCGTCGGGCATATTTACCCCTTTCTCGGGAGCGTTCTTCTTAGCTTCAAAGAGCCTAGTCTCCTGTTTGCCAGCTGCCTCTCCCTGGGGCCGTCAGTCTCCTTTGCTGCCTCCTGCTTCCCCTTCCTTCCCAGAGGGAGCTCCCCAGGGTTCCTGCCAGGCTCTGCCTTCCCCACTATGGGCTTTCCTTGGTCACATCCATCACCTTAGGCTCAGCAGCCACCTTCATGCCACCCGAGGCCCTAGCATGCCCAAGCGAAGCTGATCGCTCTGCAGCAAACCATCACGCTCTGTTGCACTCCTTTCCTTACGCCATGTCTTTCCTCAGATCCCGTGACCCCATGGGAAACCCCTGTCACCCGGATTCCTTGCCCTCCCTCATTCCCACAGTACAAGCAACCCAACCCAACACTTTAGACCAGGGAACTAACAGGGCGAAGAGACCGTGGAAGAGTAGGTGAGCGAGCAGGGAAAACACATCTCCTCTTTGCCCACCTTTTCCCAAGTTCATCCTTAAAGGAAATAATGGCCCCATGGCACCATTTCCTTTCTTCATCCATGAACGTTCTGAGTCCAGGGCAGGAAGGAGCACCGGGAAGTGGGTTGGCAACCTAGGCTAGAACAAGGGCCCTCTTAAGTGTCCATGAGGCCGGGGTGACAAATGAAGGCTCCAGAGCTGCCCGGGAGTCCACATGTCTCAGAGCTGCCCACACGTTCACGGGCGTTGTGATGTGCAGACCCCAGAGGCGTGGCCCCCAGTGCCCCTCACTCCTGCCTTTCTGTCAGCAGATGGGCCCCACTCGCCCCTCCTCCGAAGTTTCATTCTGACAACCCAGCAGCCCGCCCTCCCCATAGGGCCGCGTTTCCAGCTGCTGACAGCGTTCTGTCTCTTCCTAGAACTTCCTGCTGTTTGGAGCGGATGTTCTCTACCACTGAAGTCGCTGTCGGTGCTGGGGCTGTGGGCCCACCAGCCGCTGAGGGACGTCAGCCCTGTTCCTGGCAGGCCTTGGGGCACCCTTCTCCAGGCGGCCCCTCCAGTTCTTGACCCAGAGACCCCTGCAAACTTCTCCGAACTCAGGTTTAGAAACAACCTAAGTATGGAGACCCTGTTGCTTGGGGAAGTGTGTGGTGTGGATTTTAGGGAGTAGGAGCTTCTTTCCAAAGTTTAGCCTGCCCAGACGTTTCCTCCAGGAACTGCATTTCAGTTGTATAACCACAATATGTCTCTTTGTGCTTCACACACACACACACACACACACACACGAATGAAAAAGAGAAACATCTGGGTTTTTTAAATGTGGAATTCTGTGTGATCGTATGGTTTCTTGTTTTATGTCCACTCATTCATCCATTGGCTGTACCCAGCATGGCCTGCAGCATCCGTCTACAGCAGATACACTCCCCTCTTTACTTTTCTAATTACTGTCTTGGGGCCACACATGCCTCTGTTGGCAAAAAGTGCCATTGTTCCTCTTTGGACACTGCCTAAGAGCCCAGAGGGGGTCTTCGCTTCCTCAGGTCAGAATGCTGTGTAGGTGGGTCCATTAGGCTGTTGTTCCTGCCACTGCCACCTGGTGTCGCTGTTGAACAGCTATCCTGCAAAGCCTGTGTTCCCTGCCCAAGGATGATGGTTCCCTTAATCTGTACTCTCCTCTCCTGCCCAACCATTGGGCCCAAAGTAGAACTGGGCTGGGGGACAGAGGCCACTGAAGTTGTTGGCCAATCTCATTTACAGCTGCAATTAGCCCTTCCTGGTGACGTTCCAGGCTGGCGTGGAAGCCGGATCACCAGTCCAGACCGTCCTTGAACTCTTAGGGAGTCTTCTCTGGGACTTCAGGATAGCTCCTGCCATGGAACATGAGGTGTGGCTGTCCCAGGCGGTTAGATGGGCTCTAATAGCATTTTATTTCAAATCGATGGAGCGTTTCTGGGAAGACATTTTGGAGCCGCTGACATCTGGTCTGTGACTGGAAGCGTGAGGAAGAATTTGAAATAGTCAGTGGGGTATGGTCAGCGACACGGCCAGATTTAGCTTTCACAATGTTCTGTTGTGACTTCTGAAAGCATTGGAGGGGCAGGAGTGGAAGGGGGTGGGCACAAGTTAGGAACCTGTTGCTCAGACTTCCTCCCGGCTGGCTGGCGGTGATAAAAATAGACAAAAGCGTTTGTAGTAATGACAAAGCTGATAGAAGGTGTTTTTAAAGAAACATGGGCACACTTGTGCTAACATCTTCAATCCTCTGACAAATGGAGGTGTGGGCTGCGGGGCCACAGGGGAAGGGAGGGTTGTTGACCAAGCACAGCACATGAACGGTTTCATTTAATCCCACGGCACACCCATTCCCCGAAGTGGGAAGTGGCCAGTCCTCCCAGATTGAGTCACTCTCCCTGGATCAGCAGCTTGCCAGGGGCAGAGCTGGATTCCCACCCCCAGGCTCTCCTCTCCTCCCAGGGGTCAAAATCCCATCTGTCTGACGCTTGGGACATGCAAGGCGGAACTACCAAGTCCAGCTGTACTGGATGTGCACTGGAAACAGGTGTCAGGGTCGGGGAACAATATCCTTTCTCCAGTTTGTCCACCAACAGGATGCACCATTGCCCACTTGCCTCGTGGAGGCTCTGACATGGGACAGGAAAGCGGCCAGTGAGGCTGGAAGAGCATGGGTGGGAACACAGCACAGATGAGCAGGGAATGACACAACCTAATTCACGTTTCAAGAGGCCCCTCTGGTTGGAATCGGGAGCAGAGCTGGTAAGTTCAGGGACACAGCCCTGCCTCCCCCACCTTCACCTCACCTCCCACCACTCTCTTGGACATAGTTGCCTCCCCACCCCCTCTCCTCTACTCTCCAAAACACTCAGGCAGCCCCTGTCCCACTCTATGGGGGGGGAGCAGTATTTCTTGAACCTAAGGACTGGTGAGTGGAACACACTGTGCCCTGGGGACTTCTCTGTAGTGGCTGAGAAATAGGCAATCCTTTGGAGGTGAGCATTCCCCAAGACAGCCCGAGTTATGTGCCAGGCTGCCTACAACTGGCAGCTTCTCCCTTCAGGGGGTGCGGGCTCCTCCGCGGGTCTGCTGACTGCCAGTTTCCTTGTGGGGGGCGGGGCGTTGAAAGTGCTCTCAAATCAGATCACTGGGGTAGTTGCACAAGTCTGTCGATATAGCAAAACCACAGAACTGTACACTCTACGTGTGTGCGTGCTGTGATATGTGAAATATATGCCGATAACACTGTTCAGAAGCAGGAAGAACTGCCTCCTCTCGGCTTCCTAAAAGCTCACCGTCTCATCAGCTTCCTTTGGGGGTTTCGTGTTGCCCTCTGGGGTTCCTTTGGGAGGGGAGACATGAAATGTGATGGAGGGGTGCCCTGTGTGGGAAAGGAGGGGAGGGCCGTGCGGAGACTAAGCCCGTGCTCAGCATTCTGCCACGTCCCGTTGAGGCCATGAGTGCCCCAGCCCTGGGCCAATCTCTGCAGTTTATTATCTCAAGGTCGACAAGGGGCTCCCACTTCTGGATTCAGAGTCTGAGGTTTAGGGAGGTGCTGTGGCCGGCTCCAGATCACTCAGAGCTTGGGCTAGGGAGCACCGGGCCCTAGTTTCAAAAGTCAACCCAGCTCTGCACGGCTGCACATCTGTCCAGATGTTACTTACCCTCTCCCGTCCTCTATTTCTTCCTCTGAAAAGCAGAGGGAAAAACCTCGCCCTTGTCTTTGGGGTGAGGCTGTTGGGAGGAATCGCTGGTGTTATTAATAAGCTCACGGCGTGGTGGTTATGAGTATGCGCTGCACTCCCAGATGCTGTGGGTTCAAAGCCCAGCTCGGCTATTTGTCAGCTGTGTGAACCTGGACAATTAACCCTCTGGGCTTGGAGTTTTCTTATCTGAATCATGATAATACCTACCTTACAAGGTAGTTATGGAAATCAAATATATGTGCAAGCTGTGGGCCCAGGACCTGACAATCAGTAATCAAAGTTAGCTCTAAATGTGAGTAAATCCAATAAATCCTTCTCTCTATAAGGACTTGCCATAGTTGCAGTCCCAGTGCCTGGCAGATGAAAGGTGCTCAGTAAATGTTTACTTTTAAAACCACCCAGGATTTGAATTCATGTCTGAATTCATAGTGACTCAGAGCCACTGTGTCAGTGATTCTCAAAGTGTGATCCAGAGCTGCCTGCCTGGATGGCTAGAATTCAGGGTTCAGGGCTGGGCCCACAGTGTGACTTGGGCCAGTCTGCTCCCCCTCTCGGTTCCAGTTTCACCATCTGTAAAAGCCAGGGCCCTCTGGAATTCCGGGAAAGGAATCCAATAAAGTGAGCTCTGGCAAATATTAAAGAATTTCTGGCTGAGAAATTTTCATTTTAACAGAAGCTCCTTAGGGTCCCCAAAGCTATCAAGACTTGTTGAAATGAGGCCACTGCCGGGCTTTTAGATGCTGCCAATGGCAGGGGCAAAGGGGATGGGGAGGGAGAGACGGGAGGGCTTTCAGGTTCCTTGGGGCCCCCCTGGGATGAGGAGCTGTGTATCCAGCCCTGCTCCAGTGGGTCTCCTAGCATCCCAAGTAGGTGATACACAAGCTTTAAACCACACTGGATTGTCACTGACATTCCTATTTTTCTTCTGTACATCCACATGCCTCAGGGCTTGTGTGTGTGTGTGTGTGTGTGTGTGTGTGTGTGTGTGTGAGAGAGAGAGAGAGAGAGAGAGAGAGAGAGAGAGAGAGAGAGAGAGAGAGAGAAAGAGAGAGAGAGAGAGAAAGAGAGAGAGAGCGCTAGCCAACAATATTAAAGCCTCAAATCCAAAGTACCCTGCTGAGATCCAGAACCGCAGGTCTTCATAACATCTTTGTCTTCCAGCGAAAGCTGATGCTCTTGGGAGTGTGGGCACCACCAGGGGAAAGTGCACTGACAATAGCAGTGAGAACTGCGAACTTGGAGCTCACCTTGTCCCTGTGCTCAAAGCACGGTCCAACGTCAGCACCACCTGGAGCTTGTTAGAAATGCAGAGCCCTGGCCCCCAAGGAGTCTCCTGCATCAGAATTGGCATTTAAACAAGATCCCTGGTGTATATATACCACGTCGTATCCATTCACCCATCCATGGGCACTTAGGTTGTTTCCTGATCTTGTTGTGAATGATGCTGTAATGAACGTGGGGGTGCCAATATCTCACCCACATCCTGTTTTCATTTCCTTTGGATACATACCCAGCCCTGCAATTGCTGTGTCACGTGGTAATTCTTTTGCTAATTGTTTACGGAATCTCCATACAGTTTTGCATTGTGGCTGCACCAATGTGCAGTCCCACCGTCCGTTCCTGGGAGTTTCCTTTTCTCTGCATGCAGAAGTTGTGTGGCATGTGTATGCGACGGAATGGTCTGCAGCCACGTGGGAGAAGGAAAGCCTGCCATTTGTAACACATGGGTGAAAGTTGAGGGCATTATGCTAAGGGAGGTAAGTCAGACAGAGGAAGACAAAGACTGTGTGATCTCACTTACAAATGGATTTTTTTTTTTAAATAGCCAAGTCATAAATACAGAGAGTAGACTGATGGTTACAAGGCCTGGGGGTGGGCGAGTAGGAGAGATGGTGTGCAAGGCGACTTAGAACTAGCAGGTAAGTAAGTCCTGGAGCCTAATACATGGCAGAGTGATTAGAGACAGCAACGCTGTATTATGAACGTTAAAGTTGCCAACAAACTAGGTTTTAATTGTTCCCACCACCAAAACCAAAATGATAATTATATGGCGGATAGAGGTGTCAGCTCATGCTACAGTGGCCATCATATTACAACCAAAGGCCCGATGCACAAAATTCATGCATGGTTAGGGTCCCTAGGTCTGGATGGCAATCAGGGCTGATCTGCAGGGAGACTGGCATGGCGACTGGGGGTAGAGGTGAGGGGAGGTGGGGTTGTGGGTTCCTTCTGGCAACAGCCTTGGCTGGCCTGGGGCCTGCAGGCTGGGGGCAGCTCCTATGTTGAGCGTCTGCCCCTAGTGGTGGGCACACATCATAGCAACCGGTCGTTCCACCCATTGTTCTGCTGCTCTGTCGATTTGCATGTTAGGCTTTTATTATATCAGATATAAAAATATATAAAATCAACACATGATATACCTACCCTTGTAGGTCAATTATATTGCAATAAAAATACATTTAAAAATAAATACATTTAAATGTATTATTTATTTATTAAAAATAAATAAATAATACATTTAAAAATAAATAAAAATACATTTAAAAATAAATAAATATTTTTATCAGATATAAAAATATATAAAATCAACACGTGATATACCTACCCTTGTAGGTCAATTATATTGCAATAAAAATACATTTAAAAATAAATAACCCTGGAGGATTCAAGAAATGCTGTCCTGGTCCAACACCATCATCTGTACTTGGAGGGAAAATGAGGATCGGAGAGGGCATGGTTTGTCCCAGGTCACACAGCCCATCAGGAGAGGAGCCCAGACAAAGCCGCAGGCTCCCTTGCTGTCTGTGCTTCCCACTTCAGGCAGTTCCCTTCTCCACAAAACCTCCCGTGACCTTCGGGATCCAGCAGAATGTTAGCTCTCCGCAAAGGCTTTCTCAGTGGCCCCCGGGACTCTCTTGGTGGCATTCGTTTCTGTGTGTTTTCAGTTCCCTCTCTCCCAGCCCACTGTCCCCGCACAGACCTGCGGACTTTGGAAAAGAATTCAGAGCTCTCCACAAGAGGAAGACATTTGCTACAAAAGATCTGCACGCTGATTGTGCCAATCAGGGTCCAGGCAGGAAACCGGAATCCAGCTTGGATGACTCTTGGAATTCAAACGAAGAGGCTCTTTATAGAGCCGGGAGGAAGGCTTAAGGAAACTGGTGAAGGAAGTTTCGGCCTCAGGAACTGGCATCTTTAAGCTTGAAGAGCAAAAATGGACTCCAAGCCCAGTGAGGGCTGGAGACTGGTGAGGGGCTCAGGGGTGACACAACCATTGCCAGAACTCTCTGACCACTGGTGGCTGAGCCCAACTACAGGTGGGGAAACTGAGTCATGGAGTGCCCAAAGTACCCTGTGGGAGAGTTAGGATTCACACCCAGGCCATTTGGTCCCAGAGTCCACACCCTTGACCATGCACTGTGTTCTGCTATACGTTCATTCACTCTTTAAACAACTATCTCCTACATTCACTCAGTATTCTAAGCGCTGTGGTTTCCACATTCTGGGTTTTCTAAATCCTTTTCAACCTTTGTAATCAAAGCACAGTCAATATTGTTCTTTTGAAAGGGGGAGCATGTTCACGGCGGTGGGACTTCCTGGTGGCAGGGTGGTGGCAGCTGTGGCTTCCATGGAAGTGGGTGGTAGGAGGAAGGCCTGGGGGTTCTGACCAGCACTGGGGTCACACTGCTGCTGGGGCCCCTGCTGGGTCACCAAGGCACCCTGAGCAGGAAGAGCATCTATGGGGGTGGAGACCTGGCCTGAGGCCACTTGGCACGCTGGCCCGGCAGGTCTAAGGTCCAATGTTTGCACCGTGGGAATTTTCCCAGCCCCCACAAATGGCCCTCAGCCAGGGACATCCCCCCACTGCCACCAGAAGACGAACTCCTGTGTCCCCATGGGGTCCTCACTCTCACACTGTCCCCCCCCCACTCTCCAAGGGGGAAAGGGCCCAGGGGAGTCCCCTGCCCTGTCCTCATTCTACAGAGGGAAACTGAGGCACTGGAGGACACAAGGCTTGCTGAGGGTCCCAGGCCAGGCAGGGCTGAGCCAGGTGGGACGTGCTGGTTTCCTGACTCCCAGCACAGGAGCGGTCCCCACCCTGGCGGGCTGAGCCAGGGAAGCAGAAGCCCCCAGGATGGGCTGAGTCCTCTCAACCCTGCCTCCAGGAGCACCCAGGCAGCTGGGACGACAGCCAGGACCTCACGGAACCGCAGCCTGGGGACAGAGGAGCTGAGAGGCCTGGGCTGTGTGCTCAGCGTGGGGAGTTCCCCTCTTAAGCACAATCCTAGTGCCTTTCGTGACCCGCTGGGAAGACACTGTCACCTCACCCCAGGTGATTGGCGGAGGCAGTCAGTCACAAAGACCCGCCCAGTTTCCAGGGTGGGCTCAGAGACTCCAGCTTTGGGTGGGAGGAGAAGCAAGAACTTTTGTCGGTATTTTTAAAGGACCACAATTATGCGAAAGCAGAGCATGGATGATGCTGTGATGGAGAAAGTGCAGAGGATTCTGGGACCACGGAGGGCGCCTTTCTCTAATCCAGGAAAACCTGGGGGAGATTAGGGAAGGCTTCCCATAGGTGAGGGTAGAACAAAACTCACAAATATAGGGAGTCCTTGGGGACCCAATGAGTTAGCACAACCCCTACTATAGATTTTGTTTTCCCAAATGAAATTTCATCATCTTTACTTACTGCAAATACAATATTATCCAGAACAATGCCCCCCAATAAAAAATTTAAATACCAACAAGCAAAAAGATTTTTATTATTTTTATTATTTATTTATATATTTTTTTTGGTTAATCTTCAGCTGAAGATATTTTTTCCATTGATTTTTGTCTTGTTTTGTTTTCTTTTGTTTTTAGAGAGAGTGGAAGGGAGGGAGAGAAGGAGATAGGGATGGAAGAAGAGAGAAACATCCATGTAGGAAAGACACCCAATCGGTCGCCTCCTGCATGTGCCCTGACCAAGGATCAAACGTGCAACCCAGGTATGTGCTCTTGAATGGGAACCAAACCCCAAGATCCTTCAGTGCACAGTCCGATGCTCTAACCACTTAGCAACACCAGCCAGGGCAGAAGGATTTTTTAAAAAATATCTATAACCCTATCCATCCAACCAGAGACAGTCTCTCATAACTCCTTGCAAAGAATTTCCCTGATTGGCAAACATGGAAATAGAGCGAAGAAACAGAACCTCACCATACGGTGCCATTAGAAACCAACCCCTCACGGCCCTCTTTCCTTATCAGGAAATACACTGATCGCTGCAGCCCCGCTTTCAATGGCTGCCTCGTCCTTTATGTCACCAGTGCCCTCTGTGGGACGCTGTAGGTCGGGCCCCCTCCTCCTGGCCTGCTTCACACAGCGCGGCCATGGGCCTTGGAGCAGCGACACGGTGGCACGTGACTCAGTTCTGGGTCCGGGGGCTGGGCCTGCAGGTGCCCACTGATTTGCCCTTGTGACCTTCCTGACATGTGACCACCACCACGGCTGGAGAAAGCCTGTTTCCCCACGGTGGGCTGGGGCTGGGGGTGGGAGGTGGTTCTTCCTTAAACAAACAGAGTGGAGCACAAAGAAGAGAGCATCTGGAGGTGCTAGGCCGGCTTGGACTCCCAGCTCTGCCCTTTCCTGGGTGTGGGACCGTGAGCATGTGGCCAGGCCTCTCTGAGGGTCAGTCCCCTGGTGTGTAAACCGGGGCCTTCCTAGCAATGAGCATAGGGTCTTTGTGTGGGCAGGGTGGACAGAGCCTGTCACCTGGGGCCAGGCCGACCTACCTCAGACCCTGGACCAGCAGTCGCCGGCCTCTAAGTGTGGCCCGTGACCCCAGCTGTGTCGCAAGCAGGTTCCGGGCCCCGTGCCTCCCTTCCCGCCCTGATTCCAGGAACTTGTCCCCACCCGGGAGCTGCCTCAGCCAGTGCAGCAGCTACTTAAGGAAGCTGGGCCCCGCCAGCACCGCGCAGTCCTGCTCATCCACCCCGACTCCAGGATGGGGGCTGCAGCCAGGGTCCTCCCCTCCCTGCTGCTGGGGCTGCTGCTCACATCCTCCCCGGGGGCCCTGGGGGCCAACCCGGGCCTGGTCGCCAGGATCACCGACCGGGGCCTGCAGTATGGTAAGGAGCGAGGGCTGAGGGCTTGACGGGCCGACCTGCTTGGCACCAGGCAGCTCTGGTTCGGCGGTGCACAGACAGGGCTCTTCCTCTGGCCAGGCGGCCTTTCTGGCCAGGCGGCCTTCCCCGCCCGGCGGCCCTGGCTCCCACTCTGGCCTCATCACCTGCCCAACCACTGAGTCGCTCAGGCTCTTACTTGTCTTAGCTGGGTTCCCGCCAGCCAACAGAGGCAGGATTTGGGTGCAAGTGGTTCATTTGGGAGTTGATTTCAGGACACACAGTAGGGGAGAGGCAGCGGGAGATGGGAGAGGACAGAGGGCAGAGGGCAGGAGGGGGATGTTATTAAAACAGCTCCCACCCAGGGTCTGCAACAGTCCCACTGGGGACATTCTTGGCAACGTTTGAAGATTTGTGCCTGAAAACTGGAAGTCAGACGGTGGTTACCTCTGGCCATTGGGGACCAGGAGGAGTAGGAGGGGGCTTGCAGGATGCCGGGAAGGTGCTGTCTGCCTCTCGCTGGGGTGGTGGTGACAGGTGTGCATCGAAGCTTTTAGATGACCTGGCAACCCCTTACGATTAGTGCCCTTTGGGTACTTGACGTATTTTATACTTCCATTGAATGAATGGGCAAAAAAGTAGAAGTATTTTTTAAAAGATGCCAAAGCAATGCATCAGAATTCATCCATCCATGGGCCAAGGGATCTGGGGTATTTATACACTGCTCCCCCAGAACTGACCAAGGGAAGCTCCTTATGCATGGAGCCTTGATTGCCTAATCTATTAAATGGGGTGATAACATTTCCTCAGGCAAGGTTTTGGGGAGCCCAGACCAGCTGGGGGCAGAGAAGGAAGTCAGGGAAGCCTTCCCGAGGAGGGGAGGTAGAAAGGTAAGTGGGGATCAGCCAGAGGCAAGGGGACCGGCACAGGCTTCCTCGGGGGTGGGGAGGATTGCACCTTGAAAAGGGGCAGACCGTTGGTCAGGGGTGGAGGCATGTCCTCCTGGAGGACAGAACCCTGGCTGCCTCGTATTTTAGAACAAACAGAAGGTCCTGTTTATCCTGAAACCCTACATCAAGCAAGATTTGCCTTTGTCCCTTTCCGCGTGTGAAAGTGCCATGTTTACTTAACCGGTTCTCTGGCGTTGGACTTTTGGGTCCTCTCAGTATTTTACTATAAAACCCGCCTCGCTGTTCCCGGCATTGCTGAGGCCTGCGGTGTGCCAGGCACCATGCCGGGTGCCTTTGATCCTCCCAGCCCTCTCCCCTCCAGCTCCCACGCCTGTGTGCTCTGCAGGGGTTTCCTTTCATCCTCCTGCACCCAAGGAGGAAAGTATGCTCACTGCGTTTTGACAGGTGGAGAAAGTGAAGGCTGAGGACTTGCTCAAGGTCACCCACCCAGCTGGAGAGATGCCAAAGCCTGGGTTCTATCCCTACTAGTAGTTTCTTCTACTCAGGCTGGATGCCGTGAAGGGACAGGAACCACCCACACGCGCACGCAGCCCTGCTCCCCTCCTGGAGCTGCTGACTCAGGCATTCTGTTTCCTCATCCATACAATGGGCACGCAACCCATGTAACGGCGTCATATCCTGAGTGTTCCTCAAGCCGCCTGGTGTGCAGAAGGGCTCAGTACCTTGTAACTGGAATGAGCGTTAGTAAGGAAGTCGGCCTCTCTCCCCAGGTGGTGGGAGCCTCTGAAGGGACCGGAGGGGCGGGAGGCGGGCCAATGAGGCTGACTCTCAGCACCTTCCTGTCTGCAGTGGCCAAGGAGGGGCTGGTGGCCCTGCAGCGCAAGCTGCACAGCATCGAGCTGCCCGACTTCACTGGGGACTTCAAGATCAAGCATGTTGGACGTGGGCACTACGAGTTCCACAGGTGGTGCTCCCTTCTGCTGGGGCCCCGAGAGGGCTGGGCGGGGGTGGGAGCCAGGAGAGGGAGGGACAGCCCGAGGACTGGATCAGGACCCCTTGGGGACACACAGTGGCATAGTTCCTCACCGAGCTCAGAAGGAAGTTCAGGCAGGGAACTGGCTCCTCTATTTGCTCATGAAACAAATATAAATGAGGACATCCTGACTGTGGACCTGAGCCTCAGTTTCCTTACCTGTGAAATGGGGATGACACTGCTACCTCCTGTGAGTGATAATAATCCAGGCTCCAGTCTGACCCTCTGGAAGGGAAGATAGACCTTAAACTTTAGATACAGTAGCCCAAGGGTTAGAGCTGAGGTTTAAACATCTGGAAGAGTCAAAGAAGGCTTTCCAGAGGAGGTGGCATTTGAGCTGGGTCTTCAAAGGATTATTATATACTAGAGGCCTGGTGCATGACATTCATGCCTGGGTAGAGTCCCTAGGCTTGGCCGGTGATCAGGGCTGACTGGGGCCTCTGGCTGCCGGCTGGGGTCTTCCTTCCTTCTTTGCCACTGACCCGGTGGTCAGTGCACGTCATAGTGAGTGATCAAACTCCCGAGGGGACACTTTGCATATTAGTCTTTTATATATATAGATGAGCAACTGATGCAAAAAAAAAAAAAAGAAAAAAAAAAAAAAGGGCATGAGACAGTGTTTAAGGGGCAGACAATGAAAGGAGGAGAATTGAGCCCACAGCTCATCACTCCCTCCCTGCTCATGACCATTGTTTCCTTATTTTATTCAGTCCATCAGCAGGGGTTTATCGAGCACCTATCTACTCACTCCCAGGCAAATAAAATGGAACTTGGCCATTCTCTTCCCACTGATGGTCACAACAGTGTGTCATCCTGGTTCGCTGCCCTCAGGCCTTTTGGCATCTTTACTGCAGCTGTCCTTGGCCTTCCCTGAATCTGATCCCCACTCCCCCCTTCCACCCACACCCGCACACACACACTTGAGTGTATTAGGGAGGGGATGGCAAGGGGAAGAAGGTGCAAACCCAGAGGGGTGTGTCCACAGGCCAAACTTAGATCCCACCAATATTCATGGGATTTGTAGGCTCTGATCCTGAGTGTGTGACTTTGGGCAAATGCACCTCTTCTAGGAGTTTCTATTTCCTCTTCTGTGAAAAGGGAATGAGAATAGTCCTGACCTCTCTTTGAGGCTAAGTGACACAATGGATTCAAGGTACCATGCACACAGCAGGCACGTGGTAAGTGGGGGTAGCCAGACTCCTGCCTGAAGCAGCCCTGCTGGCCCAGTCCCCACTGGGGAAAGGTAAAAGGCGAGATTAAGGCCCCTGCCAGGGCTGATGCTGCCCTCCGTGTCTTTCTCCTCAGCCTGAACATCCATAGCTGTGAGCTGCTAAGCTCTGCTTTGACACCCCTTCCTGGCCAGGGCCTGAGCCTGTCCATCTCCGACTCCTCCATCCGGGTCCAGGGCAAGTGGAAGGTGCGCAAGTCATTCGTGTAAGTTTGCTCACTCCCAGGCTCTTGGATCCTTGGCCTTGGTCCCATTCTTCTCGGGTTCAAGGTGTTCTTCACTCATCAGAAGGCCACATGGTGGATGGAGGGAGTCCAAGGCCAGAGACTCTCTCCTCCTCCCCTTCCCGCCAGGTTCTAAGTCCTGGCTCTTGGACCAATCTCTTCTCATCTTCTGCTTCCCTGATGGGGTTGTCCGTGAGCTAAGTGAGATAATACTGTGTTGTCTTGGTTTGCTTCCCCCAACAGTAGACCCCAAAGCTTCAAGTGGAAGTACTTTACCTGGGAAATGACTTAAAGAAACACCCACAGGGGAGGGGGGAAGTGAGGCAGGAAGTGGAGGAAGACGCTCCTGCGACCCTCTGGGGACAATATGGTCGGGACACCCCTCTGAGTTACCCCAACGCTGATAGGTGACCTGTCTTCCAATGCACATTCCTTCAATTCCATGAAAGAAATCAGACCACACTCTTCTGCCCTGGCTTTTTTCACTGAAGTATATTCAAGATCTCTTCATAGGAGCCTGTGAAGATCTTCCTCATTTTTTTAATCTTTTAACCAATGTAATATTTTCATTGAGGCAAAATTCACAGACTATAACATTAACCATTTCAAAGTATATAAGTCAGTGGCATTGGTATATTTGCAACCACCACCTGTGTCTCATTCTAAAACATTTTGTTACCCCAAGACATAACCTCATACCCATTGATCAGTCAGTCCTCATTTCCCCCTCCTCTACCCTCAGATAACCACCAGTCTGCCTTCTGTCTATGGATTTGCCTATTCTGGACATTTCATATAGATGGAATCATACAATACATGATATTTTGTGTCTGGCTTCTTTCACTTAGCATCATATTTTTGAGATTCGTCATATTATAGCATACATCAGGACCTCTTTTTATGGATGAGTAATAGATTCATCACATTATAGCATAGAGCAGGATCTCTTTTTATGTATAGACTACCTTTGCCTATTTTAAAAATAATCCTCACCAGGGGACATGTTCGTTGATTTTAGAGAAAGAGGAAGCCGGGAGAAACATTGATGTGAGAGAGAAACATCAACTGGTTGCCTCCCATACATGCAACTTAGAATTGAATCCTCGACCTTTTCATTTATGGGACAATGATCCAATCAACTGAGCCACACCAGCAGGGCTGGCCTTATTCTCTTTAAAGGCTGCATAGCATTGATGCCCACAACTCACAGAGCCTTCCCTACTAGTTGACCTATAGGTGGTTTTCTCCTTTTTTGCCATTACTCATGTCACTTCAGTGAGCTGCCCCACACATATATCTTGGCCAGAAGAGCCACAGAGTAAAGGCTTAGAAGTCAGGTTCCGGGGCCAAAGATGTGTGTGTGATTAGGAGGGATCCCACAAATTTGTATTCCAGAGGTGTTCGCCCAGCCATCATGCCTGGGGCTTCCGTGGCCCATACTTTCACAAGCACAGGCGGTTAAAACTTCAAAGGTTTCATCCATCTGAGAGGTGAAAGCTGGCACCATTGTGATTTTTCTTAATAACTTTCACCTGCTTATTCGCAGCCAAACTTCCTGTCCACATCTTTGATCTCTCTTTTCTTTTTGCTCCGTTTGTCCTTTCCTTATTAATTAGTATAAGCTTGTTCTTTGTGTATTAAGGAAAGGAGCTCATATGCTAAGGAAATTAACTCTGGCTCACTTATGATGCAGTTTTGTGGTTTGTTTGTTTTTTTACTTTGCCTGTGGCACTTTTTGTCCACTGAACTTTTAATTTTCTGTGCTGGCAAGTGTATGACCACTTCCTCAGTGGCTTCTGAGAGCCCTCACCCATCCCTGATTATACGAAAGCAAACCTAGGCTTTCTTATAGATCAAGCATGTCACACTCAAAGGCTAACATGGGCCAAGTAAACAAGGCATGCGGCCTGCAGGTCTCGAGTTTGACATGCTTGTTTTAGATCTTTTATGGACTTCTTTGTAATATATCTTTGCTTTGTAATAAATATTTGTAAAATTTTTTATGATTAAATTTTTGCTTCAGCTCCACTTGTTTGGGGGTGAGAGCTGAGCTTCTGATTCCCCCCTAATTGGTGGCTGGTCCAGCCCGGGAATTCACCCATCCTCTCTCATCTCCTCCAGGAGGCTACGCGGCTCCTTTGACGTGAACGTCAAGGGTATCACCATTTCCGTCAACCTGGTCCTGGGCAGCGAGCCCTCGGGGAGGCCCACGGTCACCGCCTCCAGCTGCAGCACCCACATCCATGATGTGGAGGTGGACATGTCGGGAGATTTGGGGTAGGTCACCAAAGGGGCAGTAGTCTAGCTAGCCAGCGACCTGGCCTCTGACAAGCACAAAGGTCCAGGCATAATGCCTGAGCCCAACGCGGCTGAGATGAACAGATTAACAGACGCAGATTCAAGCCAGGAGGACTGGTGAGCCATGTCCACCAGAAGTTTTCACGAACTACCTCAGGCAAACGAAATTCGGCTGTTGGAGGAACACCAGGGCTTTTGGCCAAAGGAGAGTTTATGAAAAACATGCAAGCCTTTGGGCAAGTGTTTTTGAGTGGGATGACCTTGATTAGGGGAATGTGGATTTTTTTTTTAAATGTATCTTACTGATTTTTTACTGAGAAGAAGGGAAAGGGAGAGAGAGAGAGTCAGAAACATCAATGAGAGAGAAACATTGATCAGCTGCCTTCTGCACAGCCCCTATTGGGGATATGCCCACAACCAAGGTACATGCCCTTGACTGGAATTGAACCTGGGACCCCGAAGTCCGCAGGCTGACTCTCCATCCACTGAGCCAAACTGGCCAGGGAAAGAAATGTGGATTCTTGAGCCCCTCCCCCAAATCTACTGAATTTGCTTGGGGGCAACAGGGGCTGGGATGCCTGATGCTCTGAGCCAGTGGGTGTGCTGGGAGTTGGGACTCTGGGACACAGCAGGTACCATACTGCAGCAGGGAGGGCTCCCTCGGGAACTGGCCTGCCGGAGGCCAGGGCCTGGCCACCCGCTGACACTGTGTTGGTTCAGTGGCACATAGCTGACCATGCCCTGTGCTCTGTTCCCCAGGTGGCTGCTGAATCTCTTCCACAACCAGATCGAGTCCAAATTCCAAAAAATACTGGAGAGCAAGGTAAGAACGTCAGAGCTGCCCTAGCTGGTTTGGCTCTGAATTGCGAGCTCAATCCCTGAATTTCGTTTGCCTGAGGTAGTTCGAGGTATGTGTGTGTGTGTGCGGGGGGGGGGGGGGGGGGGGGGGGGGGGGGGGGGGAGTGTGGCATGCAGGAGGCAGCCAATCAATGGTTCTCTTTCATCCCTGATGGTCCTATCTCCGTCTCCCTTCATCTCTGAAATGAATAAAAAGTAAAAAAAAAAAAAAAAAAAAAAAAAAAAAAAAAAAAAGAAAAAAGAATGTCAGAGCCACACAAGGGCTGGGCTCAAAGTCATACGTAGACCCAGGCCCAAAGAGAACAGATCACCTGCCGCAGGTCGCAGAGTGGGTGGGTGAGCTGGGCCAACACGAAGGTCTCTGGATGCTGAGTCTGTCCTGTGAAGCAGAGAATGGTTAGATGTTTGGCCAAGCGTGGGAAGCAGGGGCCAAGCAGACGCCCGCCCCGCCCTCTGCTTGGTCTTGCTCCCTGGCCCCCACTGCCCCACAAAGGCCAAAGGGAAAAGCAGCGCTTAGATGCCTGCAGCAGCCGTGCAGGAAACTTCAAGAGCGTGTGAACCAGGTGAGAACCCGGCTCCTGCCTGGGCAAGCACATGAGCACCTGCCTTGGGTGGGAAGGCAGCAATGGTGTCAGTTTTTCCCATTTAAAAAATTATGTGAAATCTCTAAATTTTTATATCTCTGGCCCAAACAAAAACGTTTCACTCCCATTCAGAGGGACCGTACGCCTGGAGCTGTGTCTGTAGCAGGGTGTGCCTGGTAGGTAATGTAGGAGGAAAGAGGAAAATACACACACTTATATCCCTGCACGTTGGCCCAAGTTCTGCTTTGGCTCTGAGTGCCCCCTGGTGGTTGAATAGGAATAGCAGGCATCGCCACAGATGGGCGTGGCAAGCTGCAATCCCTGCCTTTTCTTCTTCTGGGATCCTGGGGTCGAGGTGAGTTTGGGAAACATGCAAACTTGCTTCTCCAGCACCTCACTGCCAGGTTGTAATGAGTCAGAGGAAACAGGGAACAATGACCAACCCAGACAACTGTTAAGGGATGACATTTGGAAGTATCTACATTAAATATATGATACACTTATTTAGATGGCTAGATCTATGTACCATTTAGTCCTGCTCTTCCCCTCTAAATTCCGGGAGTCCAGGCTGCTCAAAAGAGCTGTCTGTAATGGTGGAGCTCAGGGCAGGGCCTCCGGCCGATGTCCCCTCATCAGGCTGTGCAGGTGACTCCCCATCTCAGAGGTCCAGCCCTGGGATTGACTGTGGAAGGTCTGATTGGTCCCAGTTGGGGTCCATGTAGGGACTTAAGTGTCTCTGATTATTTCTGCTTGTTCAGTGCCTGGTATATAATAAGTACTATATGTTTTTATAAAATCAACGATCAATGCACAAATATGTGAAATGTGACTAAAGCAATTAGCACAGCACCAGCCCAAAGCCAGGGAACTCACCCAGGCTTTCTCTCCCATCCTTTCAGATTTGCGAAATGATCCAGAAATCGGTGACCTCTGACCTACAACCTTATCTCCAAACTCTTCCAGGTAGGGTGTGCCCCTCCCCCCCCCGGACAGTTTATTATGATTAATTCATATGAGAGCATATATGTATCTTACAAAATCTTAAGTGGGGCAGAAGTATAGAAAGTAAAAATTAAAAGTCCCTTTTTCTCCTCAAATTTTCTTCCAAGAGGTAACCTCTGTGTTGGGTATATCCTCTTCGATATTTTCTTTGCATATACAAATCATATACATATACATATACATATACATATATATATACACATATACATGTGCATATGAACATGCATTCATATATATTCTTTTGTTCATGAATATAAATGCATATGCATAATTGTGAATAATATTAATGTATACAGGATAGGCATTGTTCTTGTGTAACTTGTATATGTTGAAGATCTTTCTATATAAATTGATATCATTTTTTAAAAATCTCTTTGTGGAAGTTAATACTTAGAGAAAAGTGCTCCCATTATAAGTGAGCAGCTCGAAGAATTTTCACAAACTGAACACATATATACCAGCTCCCAGATCAATATACAGAATATGATTGTCCTCTCTGGTCTTCTTCTGTCACTACCCCCTGCTTAAGGGCAACCACTACCCCGACTTCTACCAGCAAAGGTTCATTTTGCATTTTGTCCATGGCTGGAGCCTTGCAGGACTTAAAGTCTTTTACCAAAGGCAAAGGCTTTCTTTGTTCAATCGTAACGTGACTCTGACCCCTATTGCTGCAAGCAGTGAGCTCACTCATTCTCCTTGCTGTGTAGTATTCCACTGAGTCAGATCCCTCCCTTTATTTGTCCATTCTACTGCTGAAGGTCACTTGGTAGTTTCAGTTTTAGACCATTATGCATGGCACTGCTGTGAATAGTCTAGCTCATAAACGCATGTCTCTGGGTTACACCAGGAGTGAAATTGCAGGCTCACCTGGTATGCATACTTTCACACTACCAGATCCTGCCACCAGCTTTCCAACAGAGTTGTAACAGAACTCATTTGAATATCTGTGTAGCAGTCCCTCCTCAGGCTGTGACTTCATTTATTTATTAAGTCCCCAGACTCTGGGCCTGCAAGTGCGGTGCCCTCTTTTGCTATTGCCCATATGGGGAAGGAGGCACATCACCCAACCTCCTTGCCTGCACATGTGAGTGTATCGTGGAACAGTCCTCAGAAGTGGAGACCCTGGTCCAGGATGCACATGTAAAGTTTGTGGTTTACTCCCTGACAAGTAGCCTGAGGTGTCTGTCCTCTGATAGCCTGGTCCCCGTGCTCACTGGTGGCCATCCCCCTCCAGGGGAGGCCCAGGCGGGCACGGACAACCCTGTGTGAGATATGGACCCCCTGCTCCTCCAGGCATTAGCAGGGAGAGTCTGACCTTCCTGGCTAGTTGGTTTGTGTCCATAGGAGGCCTGTAGCAGGATGTGCCTGGTAGGTAATGTAGGAGGAAAGAGGAAAATACACATACTTATATCCCTGCACGTTGGCCCAAGTTCTGCTTTGGCTCTGAGTTGTAAACTTGGGGAGCAATATCCTTGGTTAGAGAATTCTCCCCATGGTGTAGCTTTCTTGGCATGAAGCTCCTGGTGTGGATGGGCTGCCAGACCGGGGCTCCTCTCGCCCTCAGGGTGAGTGTGTGTGTGTGTGTGTGTGTGTGTGTGTGTGTGTGTCCGGAACCCTCTCAAGCTCAGGCAGAGCACACCCTCCCCTGTGGCTAATCCACTTGCGGGACAAAAGGCCCCAGCTGGTCTCTTTCTTAGGAAGCAGCTCTTTACCCAGGGCTGGGCTGGGTGGAGGGTCTGGAGGCAGAGGGGCAGGGGGCCCTGAAGAACGTCACCGGAGTGTAGGTCGGTCAGAACCCTCACCCCTTCTCCTTGTCTGGCTCCTAATTCTGCCTCTCCCCTGGTTCACAGTCACAACAGAGATCGACATTCTCGCTGACATTGACTACAGCTTAATGGAGGCCCCTCGGGCAGCAGCCCAAATGCTGGACGTGATGTTGAAGGTGAGGGTCCTGGAGCTGGGGCTTGGGTCGGTCCTGCCTCAGCGAGACATTCGTCCCTTGGGACCAGCTCTTTCTTGGCGCCTCCTGTCCGCCTGATTCGGCTCTGTCCTCATCTCCCTGTGGTTTATCTCTGTCCTCATCTCCCTGTGGTTCCAGCTCTGTCCTCATAGCCACATGGTTCCAGCTTGTTGAGGGCAGGGCAATCTGGAGTGGTGGGGAGTGTTCCCAAGCCAGGCTCCTCTCACAAATGTCTGAAAACTTCTTGGCTGTAGCTCCCCCTCCTCCCCTTGCTCTCCTTCACCTTGCCCACCGTGCAGAGGAGGTCAAACAGAAGGTCGAGTCATAGGTCTTGTGGGTTAATACACCAAAGGTGGTGGGCGTTTTGTTAAGGCATCTGGACAAGCAACACTTCAGGAAAGGAAAGACCCAAAGGAAAACTGAAAGATGAAACAGAGGGGCCGGAGACCGGGACCAGATATACTTATTGAAGGAGAATACCCCTCCCGGCTGCCTTCCAGAGGGGAGAGAGCAGGAGGAGGCCCCTCCGTTTCATCTTTTAAAAACGTCTTTAATGGTGGAGTGTTAGGCAGTGTCTCTAGCCAATAACTCCCCTCCTCCCGCCATCAACCTGTGAGGGTGACTACCTAGCTCAGAAGTCCCACCTGAGGCAAACTTTGGAAATCCAATTGGACCTTGTTTCCTCTCCCCAGGCTGAAATTTTTAATCGTGACCATCGCTCCCCAGTTCCTTTCCTTGCTCCTGTCATGAGCCTTCCTGTGGAGCACACCCGCATGGTCTACTTTGCCATCTCTGACTATGTCTTCAACACAGCCAGCCTGGTGTACTACGAGGCAGGGTACTTGAACTTCTCCATCACAGATGACATGGTAAGGCTGGTGACAGAATGATGCTGACAAAGGATGGTGTAATCTGGCTTCTCTTCCTTCTTTCCCTGCAGTCACAAGACCTAGGTTTGGATCCTGGCCTTGACACAATGTGGTCTCTGGCCACTCCCTTCACCTCTCTGAGCTACAACTTCCTCACCTGTGAAACTGGTTAATCATGGTCCCCACCTATCAGGGCATTGTGAGGGTTCCATGAAATGGGGGTACGGGGGTAGGGGTGTAACAACACATCTGGCACAAGGCTTAGCATATAGTGAGCACTCGATAAGTCATGGTTATGTGGTCCCGTCTGCAAGAGGAAGGACGGCAGTGCCGGTGGGATGGGTGAGTCAGATGTGACAATGGGAGGAAAAGTCACTCCCGTCATTCACCAGATGGACCCTGATTTATCACCAGGGAAACTGGATCATCCAAATGGGACCACCCTGTGTTTCCCCACCACCCTGACATTGTTCAGGGGCAACAAGAGCTGCTGGAAATAACCTTCTGAAACCCAGAAATATGAAAGACGTGATCTACTGTAAAATCTAGTATCCCTTATACAAAGCCACATTTGAGAAAGTTGTTTTAGAGGTAAATGCTAGGAGAACTTTGTTTCTCCTTTTTACCACGAGTCACTAAATCATGTTCCTTTTTACTGTGGCTACAAGGAAGTTCCCAGGCAGATATTTATGGGTCCAGTGTCTTCCTAATTTGCTTTATTTTTAACTTGGTCTTTATTTACTATTCTATGTAACTGTATGCATTTCATTCTCTAAAATATTAAAAAACAAAAAAACAAAAAAAACCCCCCAAACTATCAGAGTGAGAGAAATTGTGAATTAGAATAACAAATTTAGACTGAGGGAAGGGGGAGAGAATAAAACCCAGACAAGCAAGCCACAAAGTCTTCCACAGTTGTTATAAGAAAGAATTTAGATTTTGAGCTTCCTGGCAGCCAAAATGAAAATGAAAATTATACTAACATATTTTCCCTGGTCCCAGTCTTTTTCTTCTCTTTTTTTTTTTTAGTCATAATTTATTACTTCACTGATGTAAATCAGGCAGAAAGGAAAGAAGGTGCACCATTATGACTGCAAATCTCACTGAGTGGGTCCTGCATGTCACCTGTACCCCAAGGAAAGCAGAGAGTACCCACAGTCTCATGTACCCCTGTTGACTGAAGGACAGGCATCTTGTCACTGCCATGGTAACGCTGGGCATTCGAGAAGTTCCAGTCCGAAACACCAGCCACCTCTCCCTCTCTATTTAGACCTTCGGTTCTGGAAGAAGCACCCTAAAATTTCTTTGCATCTCTTCACTGCAGGTTCCACTGACCTCCAACATCCGACTGACCACCCAGTCCTTCCGTGCCTTCATCCCCCGGGTAAGGCTTCCCTCGGCCCTCAGTGGTGCAGGCCAGCCTTCAGGGGTCTCCTCTTAGCTTGACCAAGTGTCAGAAGATGAGCAATGAGCCCCTCACTGAAGGCCAGAGCGCTGCAGGCTTTGGGACTTTCTTCCCTTCAAAGCCCCAATAGCACAGGCCTGAGCCCCGGGTCTCCTGGGACCACAGGTTGCCTAGCCTGACTGGTGCCATCTGAGAATCCCAAGCAATGCCATATGACCCATGCACAACGGAATACAACACTTGGCTGCTGTCACTGATCTAACCCTACTGGGGATCAAGCTGTCTGTAAAATTTTGCCATGATAATGACCACTCTCTGTGCTCATGGAAAGTTATCTTGTGACACCGCTAAGAGAAAAAGGCACAGAGCATTTTATGGGAATAAAGTCCACCAGAAAGCATGCTCAGAGTTATCTGTCCTCCCAGGCTCTCCTGGCAAACCCGCGTGTTTCCTTCTCTTGACATAATCTCCCCATTCTGCCCCCAGATAACCAAACGCTACCCCAACATGAAGTTGGAGCTCCAGGGAAGAGTGGTCTCTGCCCCCATCCTGAACTTCAGCCCTGGGAACCTATCCTTGGCCCCCCAGATGGAGATTGAGGGCTTTGTGCTCCTGCCTAACTCTGCCAAGGAGCTCATCTTCCAGCTTAGCGTGGTAAGGTTTGCTTCTGTAAATGCTGTTCCTTTTGCCTGTGTGCTTTTCCCTTCCTCAGTACTGGTTCAATTCCTTCAGTTTTCAACTTGACTATCACTTCCTTAAAGAGGCCTTTTTTTTTTTTTAAATATTTTTTTTTATTGATTTCAGAGAGGAAGGGAAAGAGAGAGGAAGATAGAAACATCCATGATGAGAATCATGGATCAGCTGCCTCCTGCAAGTCCCTTACTAGGGATCAAGCCCACAACCCAGTCATGTGCTCTTGACCAGAATCGATCCTGGACACTGAATCCACTGAGCCAAATAGGCCTTTCTTGATTACTCTTATCCCAATGCATCTTAGGCTCCTTGTCATTTTTCTCTTGTAGCACCCTATTATTTTACTTCATCACATTTATTACGAATATACTTATGCAGCTGTTTGCAGGTTTATTTGTTTAATGTATTTATCTCCCACCAAGTGAGTCTGGGCATCTGTGGGAAGGAAGGTATAGGGGTCTTTGACTGTTTGCTCTGCACCTATAAGGCTGACCCCTGAAGACTACATTTCCCAGGATCCCTGGCAGCACTCTGACATTCGGCTATGTCAGCCAATCATAGGCAATATTAAGAGAATGGAGAGCAGGAGGAAGGAAGAAGCAGAGTATTTTCCCCTCTCTTTGTCTAGGACAGAGATGGGGAAGTGGCTGTCTCCTCCATGGTGGCTTCCATGACCCCAACTCTCTCTGTTCTTCTGGTCTTGAGGTGGAAGTAGCTTCCTGTCTCTGTTGATGCCTGAGTTGCCACTTCATCTCTATTTATTTTTTTGGCTTTTCAGCAGTCCCATCAGTTGTATAACCAAGTCCCCGGATTACATTTCCTCTGAGTTCCTCCCTCCCCAGTGGATCCTGTCTTCTAGAGAAGGGATTCTGAGCCTTTGGGGACTCTGGCTCATTGGGCGGGGAATTTTGATCTTTTCTTTTAGGTTTGGAACTCAACAAGACAAATTTCTGGAAGGGTAATTGCACCCAAATGCTATATCTACAATTTGATATTGTTATGAAACTTTTTGTCATCAATATATTTTAAATGAAAATATAATCTATTATTTCTATCATGATTATTAATTGAGCGCTTTAGAGATCTTCAGGGACAGGCACTCTATAGTTGCTCTCAGTCGTCTGTTCATAGTTTACTTGTTCTCATAGTCAACAATTTCAAGTAAAAATGTTCAAGTTCAAACATCCAGCACCTACAGTGAACCTTCTGGGACTCTATAGTCTACTAGAGGAGTTCCTGCTTTAATCCATTGAGCTGTTTATGTAGAGAAGACAGCTGGTCCTCATAGTACATGACAGCCTCCCTCACTCAGACCTGTTTCCTTCCCCTGCAATCTCCAGACCACTAACCTCTCTGCTACACTGAACTTCAATACCAGCAAGATCACTGGGATCCTGAAGCCAGAAAAGTAAGTAAGCCTCCCATCCACATGGGGGCGCACAACCAGGCTTACTCTGTCTGGTGGTGCTCGCTGATTCTCTGTAAGGAGGTGGGGATGTGACCAAATCCTCCTGTCAATGTTAGGGGCCCAACACTCAAGAGGGAAATTTACATCTTGCCCCAGTTAGTCAAATGTTTTAGCCCTTCTGGCCCTGCTTCCACCAACTTCCTTTCTACCTAAGCCCCATTACTTCCAATCTTCTACAGAATGTATTAATACTGCTTTTTCTTAATCTATGAATTTTAGACATCAGCTATACTGACTTCCTGAAGTGATAAAGATTGAGGTCTTTTATACTACCCACCTCCCCTTTTTGAGTCGTTCCAATAAGGTGATATCATTGTTTTTAGCTAGTCATCTTTTTCACTCCTGCCCCTACCTCACCCTTGGCCATGAGCCTTCTCAAGCCAGTGCCTCCTCCTTTCCAGGGAACGCTACATAGCTTAGGTATCCCCTGGGCATAATAACCACATCTCTGAACCATTTCTGATCCATTGTAGGGTACAAGTGGAACTGAAAGAATCTAAAGTTGGACTATTCAATGTAAGTTATTGTTTTTGTTTATCAAATGACTGGGGTATTGATTAATTCAGAGTGTTTCCTAAGCAATGTTATGGTGCCCAAGCACAGAAAAGAGAAAAGGAGAAGAGCTATTCTATGCCCTAGAAAAGTGCAGAAGCTCTCAAGGACATAAAACCTAGGGCAGAGCAAAAGCTACCTCCCAATATAAGATAATTAAATCTCTTATTGGACCAATTTTTTTAAACTGCAAGGAATAGAAAGCCAACTAAAAATGTCTTCAGCATATGAGAGGACTATACAGAATCATGTGATTAAAAAACAAAGACAATGAAGACTACTAAGACTAGAGATTCCAGGCATAGCTGGACTCATGTGCTCAAATTAATGCATCAAGAATCTCCATCTTTCTGTTTGCTTTTATCAGTGTTGGCTTTATTCTCAGGTGGGTTATTCCCATTGGTGAAAAAACCCTAAATTTCCTGTGGTTTCATTAAAAACACAAAATCCCTGTGCTAGCTCCCATTAGATCAACCTTAGCCATGTGCCCATTCTTTAGCCAATCACTATGGCCAGACATATGACAAGGCCCCTCAGCCAAGGCTGGGTTTCCTGGAGCCAGAATTTTCAATCCCCAATGGTATGGACTGACATTGGGACAGGAGTTCCCTGGAGGAAAATAGAGTCTTGTATTAAAACAGGAGAAATTTATTGCTGGACACACAAATCGAAGAGATGATTTCCACCAAGAGAAAAAGGTGGTGAAAGAGAATGGGAAGATTGGTGTGTGCTGGAGCAATCATGGGGGAAGTTCTGAAAAGAGAGAAGGTGGGATAATGGCAGCTGCTCCTCACAGGCCAAGGAGGAGATGGGGCGACTTGAACTTGCACTGGTTGTTTTCCTCTTCACCGTCCCCAAGGACACTGGCCTTCTCTGACCACGCTCACCCTGTTCTCCTCTCCCAGACTTTCCCTAAGTACTTCTGAAGAGGAAATAGACCTATGAAGTGTGGAGAGACACTGTGCACAGGGACCCCAAAGAAAGACTCCTTTCAGACAATAAAGTGATAATGACACACTAATATTGTATCTGGGCCTAGCATGCAAAATGTTCTATAAAGTAAAACATATGTAAAGGTTCACAAAAAAATATTAAGTTTTTGGAACGTGATAAAAAAAAAAAAGCCAGAACTATAGAATCAGATAAGTCTGGATTCAAATTCTGACCCTGCAGCCAAGTGTCTAACAGCCACTTTCATTCTGACAGCCTCAGTTTTCTTATCCATGAAATGGGGACATTGTTGTCAACATAAAGGGGTTCTTGTAAAGACTGAAGTAGATATATATAATGCTCTGAGTCCTACAACTGGCACATAGTGAAAGTTAAAACGTGTGTGTTTTAAATTTTGTTTATTACACAAGTAATTCAGGAAAACATTCTCACTGTAAAAAATTTTTTTTGAATATTTAATACAAGGCTAAGCCAAACTGTGATGATCTTCCTAGAGGAAAGATGATTGGGTGTACAGTCTTCCAACATTTTTCTCGTTTTGCACACATATACATGTACATCTTGATGTAGGTATCTGTCTGAAATTTGCTTTTTCCAAGTCTTTTGCCATGTCAGCGCACACCGTATCCTCTCACCTCCAGGGTGGCTGTTGGAGGTTTATTGGTGGGCAATATGGCGCACGTGGTCAGAGTGTTCTCTGCAGGTGGAGAACCCTGTGACCAGGTGAACAGGGGCCACATGTGCCGTTCTCCTGTGTTCCACCAGGTGGAGCTGTTAGAGGCGCTGCTCAACTACTACACTCTCAATACCCTCTACTCGGAGATCAATGGTAAGTATCACTACGGATTTCTCCAAGTCAAGAGTGGACACTGCTTTGGAGGTGGGGGTGGGGAGAGAACTGGGCTTGGAGTTGGGAAACAGGGTTCCCCTGCAGGCTGTGAGACCTTGGGTGAGCCACTTCCCTATGAGCCTCAGGGGTCTGTCTTTGCAATGGGAGTGGTGAAGTCTACCTCACCTCTCGCCAGGGCTTAAGGAAGGCTGGGGACTGGGGCAACAATTCAGAGCTCAGAAAACCCCTTCTAAGAGAAGAAGAGACTCACAGAAGTGCCCCCCTGAGGTGGCAAGGAAAAGACTAAGTTAATATAGAGAGCACAAGGCAGCCCCCTCTAAATTCACATTTCTGATTCAGTTGCCAACACCCTTTAAACATTGAAGCATAAAGACCTAAGCCCTGTTTCACTTGGCTGCAATAGAAAGCAAGATGGGGGTGGAGGACAGATGCCCACAGCTTTTATCATGAGTGCATCCTGCCCCATGCCTACCACTCCTTCCAAATAGCCTTGTGGCAGCGAGCTCAAGCTCCTGTAGCAGCTTCCTTCCTGGGTTTAAGTCCCCATTCGACCCCTTTCTAGCTGTGTGAGCAAGGACAATTTCCTTGGCCACTTTGTGGTTCAATTTCCTTATCTGTAAAAGGAGAATAATAATCACATCTACCTCACAGTCTTGGTGATAATTAAATGAGACTGTGCGGTGTATAGAGTTTGCACAGAGGCCTCTTTTTTTAATTCTTTGTCTATAATTGCTATTAACAAATCTCTCTCAATGTTGTGCCTCCACCTCCAGCTAAATTGGCATTAGGCTTCCCTCTTCCTCTGCTGAAACGTATTCAGCTCTACGACCCTGTCCTCCAGATCCACAAGGTGAGTGGGCTCCGAGGGCTCCGGGGGTTTGGGGAGGGGGCTGTTTCGCTTTCCAGGTTCAGAGGCCAAAGCTCAGCTTGTGAGGCCCCACCCAGCCCTGCAGCCGGGAAGGCCAGGACTGGGGTGGGATGCCACATGCCACGGAGCCATCCACCTGTCCTTCCAAAGTGGCACTCTCTCCTGTGGGAGCGGGAGGCAGTGACACCGTTAGTGCTAAACTGCCTTCTCCCCCTCGCTGTGAGTGACCTGGGGTAGCCTCAATACCAGCTCCTTTCTAAATACTGTAATCCTGGACAGGCCGAGTGCTAAGCCATTTTTGTAAACTTTCTTCTACATCCTTAAGTGGAAGAGCTTTATTATAAATATGTGTTTGGTGTGTTCCCCCTCATAGACCCATTACCCCCACATACACCCACCGTTTGAATTTTAATATCCTTCCTTCAGTGTTTTTTATTTCGCTAAGTTTGAAAAACTTGTGTTCCGAATAGTTGCATTGCTAGTGCTCCTTCATGTTTTCTTTTTTTAATTTTTGTTGCAATCTAGTCCCCAATCCCCCACCTAGTATTTAAGAACTGCCTCAGCCATCAGATGGACCATAATTTACTGAACTATTTTAGGACCAAGGAATATATCTAATCCTTCACTATTCTCTCCACTGTTCTGATTGAGCATTTTACGGTCCATCTGTGCCTCCCAGTCGAGGGTATCTCCCTGGGAGAGCATCGGTATGGTGGGATAACTGGGATGGAAGCATGGAAGGAGATGCTGCGTTGTGCTTGGCACAGCATCCACATCCAGCAAGCAGCAGCTGCGAAGAGAGCGAAGGGCAGCGGCGTGGTCAGTGACACACTGGCCAACTGATAGATTTGAAAGTCCAATCTCCACAGGTCTTTTGGGCGCTGAGATACTCAACACCCAACTTTATTTGGGAGTTTACAAGGAGTCAGACAGATGGTTGTTCCAAGCAAAGACTGAGCGACAATTCATGCAGCTGACCCCAGTTTTCTCCTCTGTAAAATGGGGTGTGGCCCATAGCCTACTGGGCTCCTGGGACAGTACGAGGCCTAGTACGAAAGGGTCTAGCTCAGTGTGGCACACGGGAAGTCATCAGAAGGCGTATTATGTGCTACCTTATACATTAGAATTCTGAGCTCCATTCTGTCCATTCGTTTGACACCCAAAGGCAGGGGATGTCTCCCCGTGGGAAAGACTAGGACTTTGCCTTGAGTGCAGCATCCCTGCCCCTTTGGGTGATGGAAACCTATGAGGAAATGGAAGCGGAAACCCTGGCGGCTCACTGTGTTGCATTATTTGCCAAGGAGAAGACATTTAGGTGACACAGGGAATAGTTATGAGGCCTGCCCAGAAGCAGCAGCTTGGGGAATGGCAGATAAATCGCCGCTCAGAGGAGGTCGCTGGCAAAGCTGTGCTTTATGGAGGCCTTGGGGACGGAGGCACACCGGCGATTTATGTACTGACCTGGTTTCCGGCAGAGCTTGTGTTTCCGCAGACGTGGGCCTCCTTTTAACTTGCAGAAGCATCGTTTTGAAGCAGAGGATGCGTTTGCCATCCTGCTCTGTCCTGTCTCCCCTAGGACTTCCTGTTCTTAGGCGCCAACGTCCAGTACCTGAGAGGTTGAGGGCGAGGAGACAGATGGGCTTGGAGGCTGCAGCGGGGCCAGCAGGGGGCATCTTCAGATGTGCAGGCTGTTCCCGGAGACTCTGGGAGGATGAAGACTTCTCGGTTCTCTCAGGGCGGTCTGCCTGGCCTCTGCCCCACACTCCTCTGCAACGCGGGACTTTACTTCCTCCACCAGGATGGACCATCGTCCTCTCTCGCCTGTACGATCATCAAGGGCAGGCGCCAACTTTTCTATTCACTGTCTGATCCCCGTGCACAGTAATGACACGTAGTGGGTCCTCAATAAATATTTACCGAACGAACCACCTGGTCCTCCCTACTGCCCGCGGGGCATTTGGCTGGTCAGTCTCATCGGTGGTCTCCAGGGTGTGACCCTGACCACACTCCCCTCTCCCATCCGCCACTGCTGTGGGGAACCTCAGGGGGAGAAGAAGGGGTTCCCCGCTCAGCCTTGACCTGGCACTGGTTCCCCTCTCTCCTAAGGGGCTTGTCCATCTTGGTTTATGGGGAATTTTAATATATGCCTCACAGCCCCTCACCTCTTGGCTGCTGCAGACACACAGCCAGTGGGTCTCCTAGAGCAAAAACTCAGCCTCCTACTGCCTTCCCCATTGACACGGGTGTATATTAGGAGGAAATTGACCTGTCTAGGGTTTCGGTCCTACCCAAATAGGAAGCTCATCCCACTGTTGTTTCTGAGCCCTGCCTGGAGGAAGAGGCCTTGGTTTCTAATCATTGCATAACCAGACTTTGATCACTAACGACACCTTCTGGCTTATGTGGTTAGTTACCCCAGGACGGGGAATCACAAGGATCATCTGGTGTTTTTTTTATTGTGCTCATGAGCAGATGGGTGGCGCTGCTGGCTAGCAGGTAAGTCACAGGGAATAGACTGATTTGCCCTGTGTGTGACAGATGCCATCCAAGATGGGACGATGCACTGGCATCTGGCTGCCAGCAGGGTGAGCCATGGATCCTGTCCTCCTTCCTAGCTCCTTAGGCTCCCTTGTCGCCACCAGCACCCATCCCTGTGGTGGATGGGGTGGGGCTCCGGCTTCTTCTAGGACTAGCCATGTGGTTGTGGGCAGTCCCTCTCCCCTTGGGGTCCTCATCCATGAAGTAGGGGTGATAGTAACAGCAGCTACTTCCTAGGGCTGTGATGATGGTGATGATGTTAGGTAACCTGTATAAAAGGGCTTATTTAGCTATAGAGAGGACTCAGTATGTATTGGCCAGACATGCTTACCAAGCATCTCCCATTTGCGGGCCCTGAGTTGCTCAGCACCGGGTACAGAGGCAGCTTAGACCCAGTGCCAGCCCTGCTCCAAGAGCATTGCCTTGGGCATGGTGGGAAGAGCCAGCCTTGATTCCCGTGGCCTTGCTTTGGGCTCCTGGCAAGGCCTCACTGAGCCTCGGTGTCCTCACGTGTCCGGTGTGGCCAGAGACCCCTCCTTTCAGGGTGACTAGGGACGTGATGGGTTCATGTCGAGCTTCTGGGGATGCCCCAGGCATAGCCAGGTCCTGGTACACGGCTGGTGCTACTTCACCTGCCTCATTCTGGGGTCCCCAGAAGCAGACCCTGAGACAGGAGGAGAGGTTTCCAGAGGAGAGAAAATGAGATGGGGAAGGGGAGGGAGCCTACGAAGGGCATGTGATCCACCAGTTAAGGACCATGGGTGCTGAGGTGAGTATATACCCCCGCCCCCTGTTGGAAGGGAGCCCCTGGCTGTAGTCTGGGCAGAGCGGGCGCTGGCAGCCACAGAAACTTCTCAGGCAAAGAAAGGCCCGTGTGCGATGCACCCCTTCCTTGGCCGACTTTAGTTGGCATCCTTTCCCTTTAGCAAGTGGTTTCTGTGAGAGTAACAGCTTTCCGGAAGACCCATGAGTCTTCCCAGTGAGTTACAGAACTGACGGGTGGTCCTGGGGACCCTCAAACTCACACCTGGTGTCAGAAGGGAGGGTGGTCTGTGGACTGGGCCACACACCCGTTCACGAGGGGAGAGGAGGGCTTCCCTGTTCTCTGGCTCCTCAGGACACACTGCTGCTTCAGACACTGAGCCCCAGCGATGACACTCTGTTCTCTGGAGCCTGGCTGAGCCTGGAGGGCCCCACCTCCTGCCCCAGCTGACCCACCCTCCGCTCTGCTCGCGTGGGTACTACAAATCCCGTATGGCTGGGCTCCCGAACTGCACACTTCACAATCCACTGTGGTCAGCAGAAGCAGGAAGGCCTGAGGCTGCACGCACCCTCACGCACAGTGAGTCCTCACTTAGTGTCCACAATAGTTTCCGTGACTTTAAGTGAAGAGACATATAATGAAACCCGTTTTACCACTGACACAAACACGAACTATGTTCCTGCGGCATCTCATCAACATTAAAACGAAATGACACTGAATGAAAGAACATTATTCAGGGACCTGCTCTATATGCCTTTGGTCCAGACCTCTCTTCTAAGATTCTGTCCCCTAGCTTGATATCCCGTCCCCTCGGGAGGACTGGCTGTGAGGGCTGCACCTGGCTCCTGTGAGGAGGGAATCTGAAAAGGTGTCCCTGAGGCCTGTCCCTGGAGTCTGGTGCATAAATCCCTCCACCCTCCCACCCCCAGCACATCTGCCTGGGCCTGCTTCCCCCAGGCCGCAGAGGAACGCTGGTAGTAAAACTGACTTCTGCTTTATGGGCCAGGAGGAATGGCTTTCCTCCTGGGGCCACTAAAGAACTCAGAGCTGAATTCTCCAGTTCCCCGAGCGCAGGCTTGCCTCTCGCCACAAGTGATCTCACGGGCCTGTAGGCTGTTTCTAAAGGGACGCTTTCACCACTGCCACCTCATCTTGGGTACAGGGGTAGGCCCGAGCTGTCACCTGCACCCCCAAGACCCAATCAAGCCCAGCTAGCTTTCAGCGCCCCCCTCCCCACAACCAGCAAGCTTTCTGGATCTGCAGTCTAATCAAGAATGGTTCTCTGAGAGCTGCTCCTGCACAGAATCATTTTAAGAGTCAACATAGCCCAGCTGCCATGGCTCAGTGGTTGAGCGTTGACCTATGAACCAGGAGCTCCCGGTTCGGTTCCTGGTCAGGCCACATGCCCAGGTTGTGGACTCAATCCCTAATGGGGGGAATGTGAGAGGCAGCTGATCTGTATGTGATTCTCTCTCATCACTGATGTTTCTCTCTCTTTCTCTCCCTCTCCCTTCCTTTATGAGTCAGTAAAATATATATATAAGAGTCAATATAAAATGGATAAAATGAAAAACACAGACAAAATCTAAGCATTGGCAAGCATGTGGATGGAGTAGCTGGCACACTTGCCCGTTGCCGGTGGGAGGATCTGCTAACGTTGACCATGCATGTCCCCATGGCCAGCAGTTCCACTCCACAAGGACACCCAACAGAAATGGCTGCATGTGTTCAACAAAAGACAGGTGCTGGTGTTCGTAAAGCACTCTTCAGAAAAAGCCCTCACTGCCAATGCCCACATGCCCCTCAGTAGTGGGCAGGTGAACTGTGGAAGTCACACAATGGAATGGTAAGCAGCACTGAGCCACAATGAACTTCAACTGCATGCAGTGGCATAGGTGAACCCTGCAAACAGGATGCTGCATGAAAGAGAACAGATGCAAAAGGGCACATACTGTTAGGTTCCATTGATACAAAGTCCAAAAACAGGCGAAAGGAATTCACGGAAGTCAAAGTCGGGAGGGCACTCATGCTGCCAGGAAGGAGTAATATGCAAAGGATGGGAGGGTCTCCTGGGGTTTTGATTCTGTTCTGCTTCTTGACACATGTCCTGTTCTGCTTCTTCTTGTGTGAGTTCACTTGGTCAGCATCCATCTATCTACACTTATTTGCATATGTTTCTGCACATGCTGTACTTCAAAGAAGTATATATAAGACAAGTCTGTATTTATGAGACTTTTTATAAAGTCTGATTACTTAGGCTCCCAATAAAGTTCCACTTCTCCAGATTTATTCATCCAATAAAACAGACGCACAACTTGCATAGGCTGTTTATAATAGCAGAACAATAACGAAGCACAACATAACGAAAATTGAAAGCAACCTGTGGCCCTGGATAAGAACCGGTAGATAAAGGATGGGGCCTACATGCAAAGGGGGACTGTGCAGTCTAAGAAGAATGGGCATGTGAGCAAACATAAAAAGCCGGCAAAGGCATTACTAAGTGGACAGAGGAAGCTAGGCAGATACAGTATTATTTCCTTTTATTGAAAGTGCTGTAGATATATATATATATGCATTTGCTTATAAGTATACAAGAAATTTCTAGGGGGTTATCCAAAATACTGGGAACAGAAGTCAGTTCTAAAGATTGGAAATAAAGCGTTTGTAAAATTGGAAAGTTTTTACTTTCCTTCTTATGCCTGTTTGATTTTCTTTTCTTTTCTTTTTTTTTTTACACAAACAAATATTACTTTAAAAAATAAAAAGGCAAAGATGTAAATCAAAGTAATTTAAGCACCTGTTTAAAAACTCAAATGTGCAGAAGAGCTTATAATACGAAGCCGTGGTCTCAAAGGGAATATTAGCTCCTTGCTAATATTTTGAAAGTATAAATCATAATGAATTCTCTTAGAAGCATTATACTTTGTGTACTCTGTTGCTTTATGTTTCCTTTTTAACTGAACATTAAGGGAATGCAGTATTTTAATTGTAACTCCGCCAATATCTTTATTGAGAGACGTGTTGCCATTTCTGTCTGTTATGAAATTTCTGTTGCCAAGAAAGGCAGGATTCCATTATTTCTTTCAGATTGCGTTGGTGTAGTGCATTCTTGGTAACTAAAATACTCACATAGCTTTGGGGCTTTGAAATGATATTTAGGATGTGTGAAAAGGCATGATACATAACCATACAATCCCAATTACAAAAGAAAGGGAAGCTTAGTTGTGTAGATACACTCACAGGAGACTTAGAAGGACATGTCAGACTACAAATTGCTTGTGATTATGGATGGCTTTGTTCTTTGCTTCTTGTGTTTTTCAGTTTCCTACTATATGCACATGTTAACTTAAAAAATGTGTTATTTTAAAATAAACCTAAAAGAACAGTCTCATTTTATTATTTTGCATCCAGATACTTAGTTTCCCCACCATCATTGGTTAAAGATAATATGTTTGTATGGGAAATAAAACAATAATTAATAAACAATAAACAAGAATACAAGAATAAACTCTAGCCCTAACTGGTTTGGCTCAGTGGATAGAGCGTCGGCCTGTAGACTCAAGGGTCACAGGTTCGATTCCAGTCAAGGGCATATACCTTGGTTGTGGGCACATCCCCAAGAGGAGGTATGCAGGGGGCAGCTGATTGATGTTTCTCTCTCATCGATATTTCTAACTCTCTATCCCTTCCCCTTCTTCTCTGTCTGTATGTCAGTACTGTTTTGATTTCTGTAGCTCTGTAATATGCTTTTAAGCCAGGAATTGTGAGGCCTCCAACTTTATTTTTCTTTCCTTTTGGCTATTCAGGATCCTTTTTGGAACCATATAAATTATATGTAGGATTGTTTTTCTACTTCTGTAAAAATATGTTTAGCCTGGCCAGCATGGCTCAGTGATTGGGGGTTGACCTATGAACTAGGAGGTCATGGTTCGATTTCCAGTTGGGACACATGCCTGGGCTGTGGTCTTGATCTCCAGTGGTGGGACATGCAGGAGACAGCCAATTAATAATCCTCTCTCATCATTGATGTTTCTCTCTCCTTCTCCCTTTCTCTCTAAAATCAATAAAAAAAAAATTTTTTTTAAATGTCACTTAGATATTGATAGGGATTGCACTGTATCTGCAGATCACTTGGACGAGTATGGCATTTTGACAATAGTATTAATTCTTCCAATCCATGAACATAGGATGCCTTTCCATTCCTCTGTGTCTTCTCTAATTTCTTTCAGCGATGTTTTTTAGTTTTCAGTGAACAAAGTCATCTTCTTTCTTGGTTCAGCTTATTCCTAAGTAGTTTACTCTTCTTAATGCTGTCGTAAATGGGATTATTTTCATAATTTCCATTTCATATTTTTCACTTTTCATGTGCAGAAATGCAACTAATTTTGGTATGTTGACTTTGTATCCTGCAATTTTATTGAATTTGTTTATTAGTTCTAATGGTTTTATTGTAGAATCTTAATGCTTTATACATAAAAATCATGTCATCTTTGAACAGAGATGATTTTGCTTCTTCCTTTCTGATTTGGATGCTTTTTCTTTCTCTCACCTAATTTCTCTAGCTAGGGCTTCTATTATAGTACTATGTCGGATAGAAGTGGTTATAGTGGACACCCTTGCCTCACCTTCTTCCTAAAATCAGAGGAAAAGTTTTCAATATTTCCCTGTTGAGTATGATGTTGGCTATGGGCTTTTTATATATGGGCTTTATTATGTTGAGTTAGGTTACTTCTTTTTCTCATGTGTTGAGTATTTCTTATCATGAAAGGTGCTGAACTTTGTTAAATGCTTTTTCTGCATCCATTGAGATGATTATGTGATGTTTGTCCTTCATTCTGTTAAGGTGGTATTTGATTTGTGAATGTGGACCCATCTTTGCATCCCTCAGATAAATCCTACTTAGTTATGGTGTATGATCATTTTAATGAGCTATTGGATTCAATTTGTTAGCATTGTGTTCAGGATTTTTCTCACCTAGAGTCATCAGAGATATTGACCTAGTACTTTTCTTTTCTTGTACTATCTTGGTTTGGCTTTGGCATCCGGGTAACACTGGCCTCATAGAATGAGTTTGGCTGTATTCCCTCCTCTACAATATTTTGGAAAAGATCGAGAAGAATTGGCATTCATTCTTTTTTTAAATGTTTGGTTGTATTCTCAGCAAAGCCATCTGGTTCTGGGCTTTCCTCTGTTGAGAGATTTTTAATTACTGATTTAATCTCCTTACTAGTTATAGGTCTGCTCAAATTTTCTATTTCTTCATGACTCAATCTTGACTAGTTTTATGTTTCTAGGAGTGTATCTATTTCTTCCAGCTTACCCAATTTGTTGCATATAATTGTTCATAGCAGCCTATTGTAATCCTTTTTATTTCTGGCATCAATTATAATGTCTCCTCTTTCATTTCTGATTTTGAGTCTTCTCTCTTTTTTCCAGCTTTGTTGATTTCTGTAAAAAACAAACAAACAAAAAAAACTCTGAATTTTATTGATTTGCCCTGCTCAGTTAACCTTTTCCTCCAGTAAGAGCAATAACCAAATGATCACTTCTGGTTCGGAATTTTAGAAGCCTATTTTCAGCTAGCTCTACAGTTCATCTGGCAATTGATCATGTGGTACTGTAATCCGCTATTTAATATTTTGTTATCTAACTTCTCCGGAATTGTATGTTTAACCTTTCTAAGAAGATTATAATTTCCTTGAGGGCAGGAAACAGGTTTTATGTCTTTGTGTCATCCACAGCTCATGGAAAGTGCTCAGCTGGGTACTTAATATGTATCTGGTGGTTTAATTTGAAGTCTTTGGTCACTTAGCTTATCATTCCTATGTTTTCCTTAGTTACCCGTTTCCTTAGGCCCTTATCACATAGCTCCTCCAGTCTATAGTCAGCTGTTCATTGTCTCCGTGTCCTCTGCTTGTGCCGCACATGCTCAGCTGCCCTGCACTCCTGTTCAGATCACAGGGCTCCCTGAAGGCTATCTCACCCTGTTCTCACTCTTTCTCATGATTCCAAGCTGTCTGCTGGGGCTCCAGAGGGTACTCGGAAGGTAAGTGAGCCGTTAGATGTTAAGCCAGGAGTGTGGAAATCCAGGGCAGCAGGAAACAGAGGCCTATGTTTTGGAGGGTGATCAAGAGCAACAGGGATGGAAAGCCTGGTAAACTGAGATATTTTTTGCCACAGTTAATATTTGGGTGAATTTCCATGCAACGTCCCCTTTCAGGAGAGCCTGGGCCTGGTGAAGGTCATGCAGAGAAGGAGTATAGACTGGAGGGTGGAAGGAGTGGGAAGAGACTCCAAGAAAAGAGTCCCATGATTTGAAATTACTTATTGTTGTGGGCTGCATTGTGTCTCCCCAAAAATATATGCTGAAGTCCTTATCTCAAGTCCCTTAAAGTGTGGCCTTATTTGGAAACGGGGTCCTGACAGAGGTAATCAAGTTAAGATGAGATCACTAAGGTGGGTCTTATCCCACATGACCGGTGTCCTTAAAAGGGGAGATTTGGACACAGAGACAGACACATACCCAGGCAAGATGCTGTACAGGCAGCCCTACGAAGACAGAGGCAGAGACTGCACTGATAAAGATGCTAAGGAACACTTGAGGCTACCATAAGCCAGGAAGAGGCAAAGAAAGATTCTCCTCAGAGTCCGAGGGAGCACGGCCCCTCTGTGGGTCCCTTGGTTTCAGACTTCTGGCCTCCAGAACTGAGAGACAATAAATGTGTGTTGTTTTAAGTCACCCAGGCAAACTAAAACACATATCTTGTCCACGTTTCCTTCCTCCTGTCCATAAAATGAGCACTTAATGTCAGCATCCCAAGACAGGGAGGGTTCCCCTTGAGACAAAGACTCCAGTGGGCTTTACTTAGCCATGTGGAAGTCAGCTTTCCCACCCAGGTTGCAAACTCACCACAACTGTTTCAAGTATTCTCATGAGAGGAAACTCTCCCAAAGGGTTCCCTGGGAAACAGGCTCCCAGGTTGTCACATGCTCTCCTTGGGGGGATATCCTAGCCTGCTCAGCTCCCTCAGGACCACTCCTGCCCGCCATGTGAATCTCCCATGCACCGTGGCAGAAGATCAGAGGATGAGGTGGTTGCTGACGTTTGGCGTCCAATTATTTGGAAAAATCCTCATCGTTTCCATTAGAAT